CTAGGAAACATATAGTGTCAATTAGTTTAATACAAAGATTTTTCTGAGACAATCACATGATTAGTACAACAGTTTCACATCATGATATAAGTACCCATTCATCTGTAAATGTGTTAAAATATTTACATATACCATCCAGGTTAAAACCACATAGCATTCATGGTGATGACAGCATACATTTTGTCTTGTATTCCCATAGTATTACATGTCACTACGGTTTATGTGACAAATGGACTTGTAGCCTGTTCATATACATGAAGCTACACATCGAGCATGTAGGTAGCCTGGTTACCAAACCTGTTTTTTTACTAGCTGCTGAATTTTTCTTCTTCTCCACAAATAACAGAGAGGACAAAGAGACTTGCAATTGGCAGCTAAAATAGGTTTGGTAACCAACCATGCAAGAATGTAGGATTACAGCAAAGTCACTGCCATCCAGCAGGTGGGAGTGAGTGGTAAAATTACACCAGGATTTTTCTCTCCCCTTCCCAAATATCTGCTGACATTTACAATGCACTATTATAACTATTTCCCAACCTCCCCAGCACCATCTGTCACCTTGTGCCTTTGACTTCCATTAGTCTACTGACTGAACCCTCCACTCCCAAGTATACCCACTCACTAAAAGTCTTTGAACAACTAAATGCTGACAAAAAAACCTTTCATACTAATTGGCAGGACACTTCAAGCTGTTATAGCAATGACAACCTGAATGTATTTCAAACAGGGATGTCTAATTTTAACCACTTGTCACTTTTCAATTAACAGCTCTAAAACAAATCCTGTCATCAGCAGGACATTCTTGAGTGAAAAACCTACACATGCTCAAAATACTTGACAACAAAGAGGCACTGTGATGCACACCTGCTCTTAAATTAACAGATAGATCTTCAATTCAATCAGCAGCAACTCCTACGCTCCTGCTTTAAATAAATCTAGTCAAACCTAAACCTACCGCAGTCAAATGAAGATTACTGATCATACACATTTGCATACACAATTTTATCATTCTATATATATAGAGAGATACACAGCAGAGAGAGAGGGAGTGGGAAAGAGAGAGACACGCACACGTTCATTGTCATTTTACAGTTTCACTCCACAAGTCTAACCATGAGTCATGACAATCTGCATGACTAAACTTGATTATTGGAAGAAATTAGCATCATTATCAAATATGAAGAATTCGAAAGCTGCTGGCAGTAAAAAATATCAGCCGACATATTTGATCGCACAAATTGGCTTTGTTCCATGCAATGAATATTTCATTCATACCATAATTGATGAGGCAGTACAGTTAGTACTACTACTAGTAATATCATTTCCACCAAAACTGTAGATGTTAAAATTGTACATCATGCACTGTTCTGAATAGATAGCTGCTTCAACAGTTTGATGTTTACATAAGGTGAGCGAAAAGCTAGCTGGTGGCATGTGAAATCAAACAGATGGTTTGAGAGTGCAAAGGAATGCTTTCCTACAACACAGTACAATGGAAACACAATTGTTCCAAAATGTACCATGAAATATGGTCTTTTGTGCAGAAACCGCCTGTTGTTTGACCTACCAACACATAACACAAATGTGGATGCAAAAGGCTGTTTTTGTTTGGCAGATTTTTTTTCAATGGAATAAGGTCATGCAGACTATCCATGAGAATCTGCTATAGAAGTTGATTCGGTCCATAACTGGGGCAATTATCTTAATTGGTAGATCTAGATTATGAGCACTTAACATTCTCCCCGGTGACTTCTGCTGTACGTTGTAACTACTACAAATTTGGATACTATGGTATATAAATACAGCGACAAGGTTCTAGGAACTCAATTTTTCTGTCACAATTTGAGTAAAAGCAACTGGTGCCTTTGTGTTTTTGTCTTGTTCTTGTTGATGGGACTCAATTTTGATGTATTACCTCACAGAGAAAGAAAGAAATAAAGGGTATTTCCTGGGTACATTATAGTTTTGTCATTTTATTCTTTGTATAGCTATATACATTAAATACATACATTGTTAGAGCACTACCTTTCTCTAAAACAAACTGGATGCCTTCTACACAAGTCTGTTACTTGCAATTTCTATCAAATGGTTCCACAAAAACATGAATTTTCATGGCTTGTTGTTGACAGCAGACAATTAATATTTTCCTACCACAGATGTTGTCTCTGTTATCAGGACAAGGTTTACTACGTATCTTACATTATACATTTAAAGCTTTATCAGCTTATGCTGCCTGTCCTTAGCTTAGGGAAAAACACCTTCAAGTAAGTCAGTTGAGAGGCACAGGCAAGATAATTTGCTCCTACATCATCTTAAAGTGAAGTCCTAAGTAAGCAATTTTTCTTGTTCATGTCAACACTTATAATATCAAAGTTGTACTGACCTACTTAAATTGATGTGTAAAAGAAGTTTATTCTTACCTTTACGAGCCTGTGGTGTTGCAGACCTGGGCCTTTCAGGTGGCTCTTTCTTCATGCCCATGTCAGCACCACCCATGGTTGCCATGGAAACAAATGGGCTATGCTCCTCCATGTTGTGAGGGGACAACTGAGCTTCAGATATGTAAGGAGGTGCCTCAGGATCCACCACCACCCCTCCATGGTCTTCAAACAGGGAGTAATTCTGTGCCGTCCCCATGGAGATGCCATCACCAAGGATACCATCCTCCAGGCGGTTCCCATTAGAGATAGAGGCAGCATCTTCGATGAGTGAGCCTTCAGTATCGTGTAGGTCATCAGTGCTACAGTTGATGGCACTCAGCATTTGGTCTGACGACGGTGGTGGGTATCGCATGCCTGCTGGAGAACCCTGCATGTCACTCCTCTGGTCCTCACTGTATTCATTCAAGTCCTCATCATTTCTTTCTTCCTTGGCTGGATCCAGGTGCCACATTGTGCTGTGTTCTGAAGTGGGGATGCCTTCTGACTCTGCAGACGGGGGAAATCCAGCCATGGTCTGGCTGGGAACTGAACTGTATTTTGCCTCTTGGCCACCTTGTCTGTTTGGCCAAGCAAAGTACTGAGGCTTGCCATCTTGAGACACGGGCCGTGGGGGAGGATTGGGTAACACAATGTTCCCGTCCATCAATCTAGGAAAAAATAAGACAACAATGACACTCTTGCCATATCTTAAATTGGCATGAAAGTAGATAATTTTGTTAATTAAATGTTTCCCTGATCTGCAAGTATCAAGGTGATTGCTATAACAATGCCCTTGCTCTGTTGCTATGCTGCAAAATGTAAATGACATGGTGCTTAGATCTTTAGCAGAATCCTTGGCAATTGCTTTAAATATGGTGCCGATCTGTTAAGACCAATGTCAAAGAAATTCAACTGCGAGAAAAAATTACAAGCCATAGGCCTATAGCTATGACAGAAAAACAGGTGTTTGTAGATAGTGCTGTTTACAAACCAAGCAATCTAACTACTGACGTCACCTTGTAGTATTAAAAAGAAGAAGTGAAACTGATGGTATACAATTTTGCATCAAGACACCTCTCTAATTCTCCTCTATAAGCTAATGAAGGACGCGAGTTCTATGTTTTCCATGGAATGGCAGAATTAAGTCACTTGTTTGACAGTTGGTAACATAATCCTCAACTTAGTTTAAGGTCATATTATCATAACGCCACACATTGGGCATAATGAAACACTAAGAATGAGAATTGTGAAACAAGAATCCCGAAGAATCTGTCTGTATATCTGCAACAAATGTGTGAATTCAAAAAGATAAATAGGTGCAAACTTCCCACTAAATGAGTTGATGCGTTAATGCGTTTAGGGGGCAGGGCAAAATTTTGAGAAGTGTGAAAACTTTACGCCCATCTCAACAACAACAAATCAAAGTGAGACAGGTAGAATTTGCGCAGTTTCTGATAGACACTGGACCCGTAACGTAATACAGTACAAGTATCTACCAACTGCGTGGCATGTATATTTGTGATACGCTCATTTTGTAGCTCACATAAATCGAACTGCACAGCCCAACCAAAAACACTGATCGTAATCGATGGAAAACATGCAGCGAAAGCTTCTGCATAGCATGCAAAAAGCAAGGTCTGCACACATTTCTAATCAAAATAAGCTATCGATTTACCTTTCAATTCATCTGACGAGATTGTAGAAATCGACAACAGCCGTGTGGTTGCGGTCGGATAATGATTCCGACGATAAAACCCAATTTCCTGCTCCGAGCTCATGCAGAAATTGACGTGCAATGTTGTGTTCATCTCACCGAAGTACAGAACAGTCTCGGCGGAGGGATATTACTACAGGAATATAGTTCACTTCATCACTTCAGAATATTCGGGGAAAATTAAGATCAGAAAACGCATAAATAAATCTATTTATGACTACGGTTGTCGGTAAATGCTTGTTTCGTGCTTTATCCGGGACAGTTCCGTAAGTGCATCAGACTTAAGGTGCGGATGTAGACGCCAAAGGACCGGTGTACTCCGCCAGAATCTAGTAAGGACGTCATCACGCACCTACGAGGTCAGGACCTCTCACCCAAAATTTGCATAATCTGTCAATTTTTTTCACAAAATCCGGTTAAAGTCGTAAAAACCTATGTGAGAGGAATGAATAAATCCTAATTTAGATTTAGGAAGGCATCGAAAATAGCCGAGTGGTGGAATGCGTTTGTCCTTCAAAGGGGACTCTAGGCAGTGACGTCATCAGATGTAGATTTCCAAGATGGAGGAATTGAGCAATCGTAAACAGATGGATTCTGCAGAAGGTAGCGTATATTTACCATATTTTGGGGGCGGGGTGCAATTTTTCAGGTACACCATGAAGTGTGTTATCAGTTCGTTAAGTGTCAAGACTTGTAAAGCAAAGAAAGGTGCAAAAATGTGCCTGAAAACACGTCCCGCGACTCATGTGTTTAGAGAGCCTCCGGATGTAACGGTTTTCCACTGCACATACAGTCGCCCATTCACTCATTTGTCACATTATGTCCACAACAACCCTCCGCAAACATCGTTGTTGTTGCGACTTATATAGGACGAGCATGCTTCGTACTGCCAAAGGGAATGACACGACACCCTAGCCAACCACAGTCCTGAAAGAACATGCCTGTATAAATGGTGGAACGCCAAATTATGGCGCAACATGTCCACGACATGGCATGCATGCATGGGAGGGTCATACGTGTGTTGTTCTCACTTCCTATTATTCTGCCGTCATTCCTGTTCGAGAAATATTGTGAAAGTCGTGTGGCGCAGCGGTAGCGCGTTCGGCTCAGGACCTAGAGGTCCCGAGTTCGATCCCCACCCATGTCACCGATCTTGTGCCCTTGGGAAAGGCACTTTACACGACTTTCCTCACTTCACTCAGGTGTAAATGAGTACCTAGCTTCGGTTAGGGACGTCCCTCGGATAGGACGTTAAATGGAGGTCCCGTGTTTGGGGAGAGCCACACCTCGAGCACGCTAAAGAACCCGCCACACTTATCGAAAAGAGTAGGGGATCTTCCCGGTGTGAGTGGTTCAAATATTACAGTCTTGTGTACGTCTTCTACGTACCGTGCTTGGAGTCCTCAGCCTATTGAGGTTAAGCACGTAATATGGAAGAAGAAGAAAGAAGAAGAAGAAAGTGAAGAGCGTTGTCCCAATGCGACAAATTCCTACTTTGCATTTTCAACAACAGACAAGCCTTTAAAATAGTAGCTCTGTAAAATTGTAAAACTGGTAACATGCTCCACTCTTGAACTATCAAAGAAAATTAAGCTTCTGATTATTACAGAAAAATGCTCATGCTTAACTTCAAATGTGCGGCAGTCTGAAATTATATTCTGCACATGTTTTACAGCGTTTACAGAATTTGTTAGAATAGATAAGTTGTACTTGTAGTCCTGTGCCAAATGCTTTATCATATCAAAGCTGATCATGAGTGGTGTCAACATTACAGTGGCAGAGATCACAAGACCTTGTCAGGAAATACAATCCGTGCATGTAGAGATGGTTGGCCAGTGTTTTGCACAAGTTGCTAAACCATTCTGGACAGTACATGTATACCGGGTATTTACATGCACTATTGTGTATCGCCAGTATCTGTATACATATGTATCAGCTTTGAGAATGGCAGGACATTGTTCTAATTGCTGAATTACAGAAAGGGTTAACCCCCAAATTTGTCTTAGCTACACCTGAATTATATAACTTTTATAAGACGTTAACCAATGGGTGAACCAAAACTTTTATTTCAGTGTATTAGAATAATGCACACTTTCCAAGTATTAGTATTAGTAGTAATGTTAGCTATTGTTGGCATGATCATGATGAATGATAATTTTTTTTATAATCCTGGTAACCCATAGATTATAGTTAAGGGGATCATTGGGCCAGTACCTGGCTTGGGCATGCAGACAGACAGGTATACCTTCTCATTTTACCCCAGAAAGATCAAAGTCTAAAGTCTTTTATGAAATCATTCATCATAACTCTCTGTTGATTGGCAACCTTTGACCTTTACTACAGGTGGCATGATGTGTTGTACTTGTACAATACATGCATGACGTTCCCATAACTTGTAGACATATATTGTATGAAAGTGGACTTATTGCAAAATAATGAGTACATACTAAGAAGGTAAGGTTTCAAAATTCGAAGACCAAACAAATTATACGATAGGATCTCAGCTTGTATCATTCCTAACATTGCTGGTTAAATGGTAATGGAAAGCAATTTCCCTCTATTGGTATTTATCAATGATTGCATCTAATACCAGTATACCATGTTTGCATTTTGATTACTCAATTTCTAACTCTAAGTACTTACAGTGCTGCGCAGTGCTCATGATAATATGTGCACGTTCATGTTTTTGGTGAATCCAGTGTCTATCAGCTAGAGATCTCCTGAACACCATCCATTGAGCCAGCATTCAATATCTGGACTTACATGTACATCAGAACAGTTTGATTCTGCTATCTACTTGTAGGTAAGGCGTGTACCGAGTGCATGCTGTGGTCATGGTGGTGACATTATCCTAGCAATAGGGATATCGCTTCTGCAAGAACCTTACATGGCCTACCACGCTTGCAAAGCATGTTCACACTCACAGGGGAGCAACATCAGACTCATAGCAGTTTTACTGGTAGTTATATCACAGTGTTTTTAATTGTTGCATGAAACATGTACAGTACATGTACGCAAAATGTATAAATGTTTCTGTACATATATTTGTAGCTTGGTATCCAAACTTAGTATTATAGCTGCTAAGTCTCTTTCGCGCCCTCTGCAAATGAAAGACTCAGCAGCTATAATAAATTTAGATATCAGGCTAATGTATTTGCTGTATATGTCTTAAAAGTCAGTAGTGTATGTACCTTAACTTAAGGTTAAATATGTTCTGCTTTCTTTATGTTCTTTGTTACAGAAAACATGTCTGCAGAAGATACCATCGGGCTGAATGGGAGACCCATCCCTGTAGTCCTGGCCAACTCGGACGACCACACCTTTGAGCTTGATGAGGAGGCTCTTAGGTCAGTACTCCTCAAGGACCACATCCAGGACAAGAAAGTGGTCGTCGTTTCTGTTGCTGGTGCCTTCCGTAAGGGAAAGTCATTTCTGCTCAACTTCTTCCTGCGGTACCTGAAAAGCAAGGTAGGAAAGAACAATTCATAACAATAACATGTTCTGTGTGGACTTTTTCATTGCCAGACCTATTTTGACGTTGTCCTCACCAATGAGCATTATTAGTAATAAACAGGAAATCAAGATATTTCGTGATTGGATTTTAAAGATTGAGTCTGCCTTGCAAAACGATTAGCATCATAAATTAAGTGATGCTTTCCAAACGTCAGATGTGGAACAAATATGTATCGATCGTACCACTAATTTTACTAAAAATTAAACAAAAATATGCAGCAGGTATTATCCTACATTCCTTATCATCATACAGATTTTTCTCAGATCAAATCGTTTTCTATTTTATGAGTTTCTACGTATATGCTGACAGTGGATAATGTCATACTGGGCAAAAGGCATACCATGAAATGGACCTTTCAATAATGATGAATATCAATGGCAAAATGAATGCAGATTAGTCACTGTTAACTGTTTCTGTCTGCATGCATTCCAGTGTTGGTGCTCATCAGGGAGTACTGTGGTACAGTATTAAATCTTTACCTTCCAGTAGAAATAGCGTTTTGGCAGGAGGATTTGGGTGGCTTATGCATTATTCATCCCACACATCTGCAATGCCTGTGGCAGGGCTTAGTTATGATATCTGGATGCAACATCTTGCAGCAATCATGACCTCATTCCACTGTTGCTTTTAGTGAGTAATGTTCTATGGTAAAAGCACTTATCTACATGTACCCCAAGCTGCATCCAACCCTCTTTTTTCTGCAATTTGCTTTTAGTCATTTATTTGGGACACGTTTTGTGTCATCGGTCTACTAGCTACTTCATGCGAAGAGTGAGAGTAATGTTGTCTGGGACGTGGCTGCTCCCTTTCCAGTCATCTGAACTGACAGTTTGGGATGAAAAAATAAGATCTACATCTGCGAAATGTGCCGTCCATGTCCTGACTGCCATGTAAATTGAGTTAAACGGATGGAAAAGCTGTGTTGGACGTGATGGAATATGTTTCCTGTGTAATGTAATAGTGTCCACATGTATTCAGGCAATTTAGGTAGATGTTATAAGAAAATTGATGGGCTTCTTGACAAAACATGTATTTCAAGAAGGTGGGATTTTTTTTTAAGTACCAAATGACAGATTTCAGTCCCCTAATGATAAACCCCAATATCTGAACTCCAAGAAGGTGATAAACTGTCACTATGAATTCATAGTCTCATAGAATTATTCAAGAATCAGTTAATAATGGTACTTAAAGAGTCAGTAACATATAAAACAAGGCTTGCATGAAATGAGAGGCATATCCTTTTAAAGATATATGATGAAGGAAAAGGTTACATACATATATATGTATAAATAGATATCGAGATGAAGCTGGAGTTTATCATTAGAGTCTCTGAGAGGAGAAGAAAGAAATGACCAATATATCTTTGCAAGTTCTAGTGAATTTGTACAATGTACCTCAAGCAGTGCTTGCATGCAGCCACTAAGTTCTAATCCATTTTTCTTTACTTGAATGAAAGGGGCACCATTGTCAAGCACTCTTCTCTTTTTAGCACTCAGCTCTGGATAATAGTATTATAATGGTAGTTACGATATCACTGCCATTGCAGTAGCCCCTGCCTGCTGTAGCGCATGTCCAGCTGGGTGGACCAATGGCAGTAGAAACAGAGATGGGTGCTATTCTATATACCATATGGTGTGCACAGCATTTTAAGACTTAAGCTTAACTAACATTGTCTTACATTCTTCTGATATATGTACAAATCCTATATGTCTTAGCACGATCAGACAACCATGTAAAGTTACATGAAGAATGTGACATTCTTTGCTGTTGCACAGGGAAGGGATGAGTGGCTGGGACAGGATGACCAGCAGCTGGAGGGGTTCTCCTGGAGAGGAGGGTCAGAACGACACACCACAGGTATCCTCATCTGGAGCGACCCTTTCATAGTCACACTGCCCAATGGAGAGGAGGTCAGTATATATGTTATATGGACTTAATATGGATTAAAAATCTTTAAGAGTTTTTTTACCATCACTTATTTACCTGTTGGTTTGTAAATTTGTAAACAGAATAGCTGAGAAAAGTCGTAAATCAGTCATGATTGTGTGATGGAGTTTATGAAATAAATGCAGTTCTTTTTTGTAAAATATACATCTTATTATTCATTTGGTGCTGTAGGTAAGCTGTTCAGCTTACTGCTAAAATGCCTGACTTGTGACAGTATGACAGATGTAGTAACAGTGCACCTGTCCTTCTGTCCAACCCAACACAGGTAGCAATAGTGTTGCTGGACACACAGGGAGCCTTTGACAGCCAGTCAACAGTGAAGGACTGTGCCACGGTGTTTGCCCTCAGCACCATGACCAGCTCTGTACAGGTCTACAACCTCACACAGAACATACAGGAGGACGACCTGCAGCATCTGCAAGTAGGTTATGTTTGCACAGGTCCATGTTTTTATCTTTGGCTATCACTGTTACAGTATGTTGTCAGTACTACTCTATAGGACTGGCTTGATTGCTGTCCCTTCTGCATTAAGTCTTAGTAATTCATAGAACGGTTGCGCATACTACAGAGTACTGTTATCAAAGATTAACATTACGTCACTGATCCGAAAATGTCAGCATTGTGATATTTGATGGCTGGAGTTACCTTACAAGACTTAATTCTTTGTTCCTTACCCAACAGTTGTTTACTGAATATGGAAGGTTAGCCCTGGAAGACACCAACTCAACACCATTTCAGGTAACTTGTTTGCTTCTTTTTTTGGCTTATGTTACATACAGTGACTTAATGTCAGGAATTAGTTTAGTTGTTGTATATCATAATTATTGTCAAGTGGTAAGTTTGTAGTCAGTGCATTAATTATAGTTTTCTTGACTGCAGGTCTTGGAGTTCCTGGTGCGAGACTGGAGCTATCCCTATGAAGCTGACTATGGATCTAAAGGAGGGAGGAATATTCTCGAAAGAAGACTTGAGGTACTTTTCATAAACATCCTTTATTTTCTCATGCCTAGTGCATATGTATTCATGTCTCTGTGTGTTCATAAATTTGCCACTGCCTTCACCAAAACCATCCATTTCTCTTATGATGAAAGAGTAATAGTATTTTCTGAAACAAAATTTGAATGTCGTCTGTGTTTTTTCTCATTCAAAGATTGCAGACAAGCAGCACGAGGAACTCCAGAATGTGAGGAGACACATCAAGAAGTGTTTTGAGAAGACGGGCTGTTTCCTGATGCCTCACCCCGGCATGAAGGTTGCCACCAACCCTGTGTTCGATGGCAGACTCAAAGGTGCCAAAATACAGTCCTTATCTTGTCCTGCTTACTGAAGATCATCATCAGCAGCTGCTCAATTTTTTTTGTTCCAAGTGTGGGCTTTGTTCCACTCCAGTATATGATACAATACATCCATGTATTCACATGACACAGGGATTCTGCACAGTTATTAAGGTTTCTACCAGGATTTTCATCACTGTTGAGATTGTTGTAACCCTTATCATTACCATAAAAATCAGTGAAAAATAGAGATTAGTTGTTTTATTTTTTGTGGTTAGAACTTTTTCAATGATACCCAATTCTTTTATTTATGTATCGTAAGAGGTGTAGTTGCAGAGTTGCCTTTTTTTCCCAGACATTGAGAGTGACTTCAAGGAACAGCTGAAGGTTCTGGTGCCTCAACTGTTGGACCCGACTAACCTGGTGGTCAAGAAGATCAACGGGGCAGATGTGACGGCCAGGGAGTTAGTGGAGTACTTCAAGGTAATGAAACCGAAGTACAGCGTGAACTATTGTATCACTGATATTTTTCATGCTGTGTAGTGTAAGAACTTCCCAGAATATCATGTTCAGAACATGTGTTCTTCTTTAGTCCTAAAAATGACAAACAAAGACTCTGTATGTCCTGTCCTTGGAGTATTGTTCGTAGCTTTGGGACAATGACAATGCTGAGACAGAATTTGAACGGTTTCAACTTATTTGTCTGACATCAGCCAACCTTAGGTGACCTATGATATATTTTCATCTTTTGTTCCAGAACAATTGCATTTGTCATGAAGGTCCTGTTGGTACATATGAGAATGAGGCACATTACAGTTGTCATGGTAGATGTTTACAATGGTATGCACATAGACAAGTCTGATGAGAGAGTGGTCTGTTCAGTTCTCATGACTTTGGACGGAGGAGTTACAGTATAAACTATAAGGTGTCATATCACTATGATTAAGTATTTGTTTCACTCAATCTTCCTTCTCTGCCTTACTACAGGCCTACGTAACTGTCTTCAAAAGTGACGAGCTCCCACAACCCAAGTCCATGCTGCAGGCAACAGCAGAAGCTAACAACCTGGCAGCTGTGGCCACGGCTAAGGCCTTATATCAAGCAGAGATGGAAAAGGTAGGTCATGATGATGATGATGATGATTGTCTAATTTTACCAAAACTTTTACAGCTAATGGTTGTGTAAGGATGCCACCTGGCCATGATGGCTAGAACTGCAGTCATTGTTGCAATTTATTCTTTGTAAAATAACAGCATGCACCATTGCTGACACATCCTGTGAAGTCACTCTTTGTCTAGGTATGCCAGGATGAGCCGCTACTGTAACTGTACAGTTAAAGAAAGTGTGTGAAAATGTTATGTAGTTTGGTAAATGGTCATAACGTCCACTCCATACAGACACTCTAGAGTGTTTCGTATGCTGAATTTATCTGCAAAATAGCACTATCAAACCACAATTGGTCTCTCCAACAGATCTGTGGAGGAAGCCAGCCCTACCTGAACCCAGATGACCTGGAGTCCCACCACCAGCGTCTCAAAGAAAACTGTCTGGAAATTTTCCATGAAAAGAAGAAGATGGGAGGAGAGGAGTTCAGTTCTGTGTTTGCCGAGCAACTGGACAAGGAAGTAGAAGAAGCCTTCGAGCACTTCTGTGAGCAAAATGATAGCAAGAACATCTTCCGTGCTGCACAAACCCCGGCCACACTGTTTGCAGTCATGGTGGTTACATACGTACTATCAGGTACAGTAATATCCCATTCCACATGTCAAAGAACTTCTACATGTGTTTACCTCTCCATGCCCTGTGTATTGACTGTTATTAAAACCACAAACAACCCTGATTGGCTCCCAGATCAGGCATATGTTGTCAATCAAGTTTTAATAGCCAAGTAAAAAAAGTTGTCCTTTCAGTATCTATTGCAATGATATGTTTGGATTAGGACAGTCATCATCTAATTTCTTACCCTTTGCATTCTGCCTTGCTGCAGGTTTCTTTGCGTTGCTTGGAATGTACACCCTAGCCAACATCTTGACGGCCGTGTTGTGGGCGTCTCTGGTCAGCCTGTGCACGTGGTCATACATCAGATACAGCGGACAGTACCGCGAGGTCGGCACTTACATCGACTTGGGAGCAGAAGTCATCTGGGAGAAGGTATGTGAACACAATGTTCTTAAAACATTCTTAAGAGAGATAGTATGCTATATTTCTTATAATTTTATTTTGTCTATTTTGTCACAATTCCCACAATGTATTCTCATCAGTATGAAAGTTTTTTGTTGTTATGTATCCAACTTGAATAGTAAATGCTAGCCATATAGTAGGACTTGTCTAAATGTTTGATTTATGAATCCATACAGGTTGTGAGCCAGGCTTACATGAAGGCGGTGCAGAAGGGTGTGGAACATAGTATGGCCAATAACAAGAAGAAGAAAAACTGAAGATGATGAGTAACTGTTAGTGTAGGGCAACAGACACACACTAATACACGCAGACACACACTAACACACACAAACACACACACACACACACACACACACACACACATACACATACATTCATGCATACATACATACATACATGCATACATACATACAAACATACATACATATATACACACATACACACATGAAATAACTTCTAGATCCTGTTTTTGTTTTGCCAAAGCTATAAATACCATAGTGTGCAACTGTACCATATACAAGGTGTCCTTTTGTCAGAGCAGATGAGAGGGCCTGTGACATGATGTGTTAATTTCCACCCATTCTAATGTGACAGTTAAATGCCAAATTACCTGAAGCTTTACTCTGATATTTTTCATATTTGCACCATTAATTGGAACAGAATCAGTCATACATGTCATGTAAATGTCACCTGTCATATTTCTTTCTTGAAAGGATGTACTCATTGAAATGTTCTGTTGCTATATATGCTGTTGCTTTAGACTCACGTTTGATACACTGTACTTTCAGTAATTAAATTCCATGCTGACTGACATCAGACATGGGAACAGCGATTCCTTCCATTTAGACATTTTCTAAGCAATACTCAAATGTTTAGGAAAGTCAGAGACTATTTGTATTCAATTCCCATTGTTAATACTGCCTTTCTGTGCCTATTCAATCATTATGTATATCCACTTCTCAAGCTCAAAGCCATTTCCAGCATACTTGTTATTCTGTAATATGCTAAGGCACAGTGATGTTTAATGTATGTAATATCTTGACCAAGCAACACTGCGCACATGTCTTGGGAGTCTGTTGGAAATTTCAGTTTTTTTGTCCTGGGGGAAATTTCTCATAGCCGACAATATAAATTGCAATAAAAATATTGTTTATTTTTGCTGTTGTTATCTTGGATATCCATCACTGTTGCTATCACTAGACTGCTAAAAGTGTCAAGTCTCTAACACTTATCATATGCGCCCCTGTATGTCCAAAGAAGAAAAAGTGACAAACATTTAAAGTGATTTAGTACATGTAGGTGGTAAAATTTAAAAAAAATGGTGCAACAAAGAGAACGCTATTTATGAAATCTGCTGTTTTTCTTTGTTTGCCACTGTCCTCAGATCAAAAGTGAATAACAACATTAATGTTGTAAAATTGTTCTTGTGATGTTCATGCACAGTAAATAGATAAATGTCATCAAGCATACAAATGTTCCAATGTACCTTTACCTCCCTCCTGTGGCTGCTGTGAATTCTGTGATTCAAGTCTGACAAAACAAGGGAAAATTAATGCTCAGGGCCAGATAGCACAGTGTCTATGTAGCATTTGATGTTGAAGAAAGCATGTATAAAGAAGTGATGGTATTGCTTGCCATGCCATTCTATATGAATGATATGTTGCTATGAAAAAAGAAAATGCATGAGACCAGAAGATTTGGACAGTATTTGGACATAATTTATATATAGCAAAATAGAGTGTTGGCTGTATTTGTATTATCATGGCCGTTTGGTCTACAAACTGTTCTAGTATGGCAGAGGGGACCAACATGATGGTAAAGGCCTGTAAGGTCAAGACCATCCATCGTTACCACTTCAAATGGAAAGTGTTAAGTACACACTCCCCAATGTCTACTGTAATAGGAATTAGAAGTAGACTATAAAGTTGAAGACTGAGGCTTCAGGTAACAGCGCCAGAGCTTCCCTCTTCAACTGCCAAGCCTTGTCATGCTTTGCATATGTGTGTCAATTTTTAAAGTCATCAACTATAATACCTGTACTATTGGACCCCTCACTACACCTGAGGCACACTTGTAGCATACTTGTAGTCAACAACATCTAGCTTGGTTTGACCAACTGTCACAAACGTATATGACAATGGACATGCTGTGTTTTGGTGTAGGAGTTGTGACATCTATGTAAATAGCCAGCCATGTTTTGTAATGTCGGATTTCCTATCGTGCAGAAAATGTACAGAAATAACAACACTTGTACAGCTAATTTTGTACATCTCCATCCTAGAATTTTGTACTACCATACTGTTCAATTGATATATAATAGGAAAAATTATGAATGATGCAAAGTGCTGTATTGTTCTTTGTGAAGTGACAATATGTACAAGATATGTTTGTCTTGGTCGGTTCCTCAGATTTGCCTTGTTACCGTCATCAGTAGGATATGAAATAAATATGATGCATTTAAAATAACGGTGTTGATTGCTTTCTAGATCTTTGTACCTTTAAATAATATACATGTAGCGGTTTCCTTTAAATTAACAACCTTAGTGATTTTACGTCATCAGACGTATCACAACAATGTCTTGCCTGTTTACTCAATCGCAAAGGAAAAGTCCATAAGCTGCAACGAATACCGATTATTCACGCCTCTTCATACAGGGATGAGATGAATTAAGAGGGCATTATCGAAACGTTGCACAACGCGACTCCATTTCAATGTTGTATCATTGCTGGTATCCTCATCACTACATTAAAAAGGTCACAGCACGTCTCCACAACTAAAGAAGAGGGAGCAAAGTTAAACTGCAGGATAAGAAGTATGGCAACGAGGTCCGGATAACGAAAACAGTCATCATAGCTCACAGTATCGTCCACACGGGTGGATCAACTGAGCTACACTATAGTTTACAATGCCTGTAAAAGCCATGTGAACAGCTGGAAAATCAGAACGTGTTGTCATTGCGAGGATTGGGGCGGGAAATACAAGCCGTGTGTGCAGAAATACTTGCCGACTTTTTAATAGCTTTTCTGTTGGATTATTTTCCTTGAGTTTAATTTATTTGCAGATCGCACTGGCGATTTTGTCATTTGATTGTTGGCGGCCAGTATATATGCTGTGTAGACTGGGAATCGGACATGGTCATACGTGTCGGAAATAGATGCCCCGTCATACATGCTTGGTGTAACACAATGCGCTGTATGTTCTGCAAGGTGGCTTGGTCTTAATACATGTAAGTTACTGGAAACATCCGGACTTCAAACAAAAGCATTGCTTCAGCACTGCTTGGACGTGCATAAAATTGCGCGTCCTCGTGTGAAAGACATGTCAGTCTTGCAGGATGCCCAGAACTCGACCCCCATGGATCCTGGAAATGAAAACAGGCGACCTCTACACTCGCCGAAAATATATACGGAATGCCTCGAGTATGCAAATTAGCAATATCATCTGTGCTAACTTTTCATGCCACTGTTCCGTATAAGGAAAGTGTCAGACCAAGAATTCCCTGATAGGTCCGTTATTCCGGTCTCCAGAACTGATATAGCCCGACCAACCGACTTTGGAGGTCAGCAGTTTCTGCGCTCGCCTGTGCGTCGGCTAGTCGTTGGGGTCCCTGTGTCGAAAAGGAACGAACTGAACCAAAGATGGTAAGTATTGCTCTATCCATATTAGAGACTTTGTTCATGTTTGGAGCTTATAAAACAGCTTCTTGTTGCTTTTGATTGGTATCTGTGATAAGGTTTTGTTCTCTGATTGTTCTCAGTGGATGATAAGGCCATGTAGCTGATCTAAACTTTGAAAACGGAGTTCTTGGTAACTCAGAAAACGATATATGGCATGCAGTTTATCGACGTATTATAGCTATGAATATTGGTTGACGTTCCTGAGATATTTTCTTCATTTGCTTTCGCTGTAAAGCAGAAGGATGGTGTTTATAAATGATGTATCGTCGAGTTTATGGGTTATTGACATACACACCGCTTGCGCTTATTAATGTGTGGCCACTGCCTATATGCTAATTAAGAAACAGACAAGCGCGATACTTTTCCTTTAGTTTCCAACTATTGTACAGACCAACGGACGGCAAAACAGGGGTATTTCAATTTCCAGTCACGCCGAAATAGTTTGAATGCCGACATGGTGTACTACAGGATAGTATATGTAGGCGCATACCTCAGGACACTTGAAACTGCATGTACATGTTGAAATTGATACCCATCGATACCTCCCATTTGCTTGCTCTATCCCATAAATACATAATTACAAAACTACATCGCAATCTACGAAACAAGTGAAGGGTGATTTTGAAAACAGGAACACTGAAAATCTTTTTCAATTTTGCACAATCTTACATGAGGTTAGACCGATGCTATATTTGGGTCGGAGATCGATTACAAAAAACACAGACAATGCAATTCTGCTTTTTCTCTGTGTTTTTCTATCGCTCATTAAGCTACTACTTTATTGCTCAAAGGCTGGTCCTGAAAAGAAAAAAGAAAATAACGCGGATGAAGTGCAACACAGCATGCAACATGCAACACAGCCAGCCTTTCTTGGCACAGAATGCATATTGAACACTGCCTCCATCTGGGATAGAAGTTTCATTTTAGCGCCAACACATTCCAGGAATACCCACGAAAACGGCAGCAAATTCTGAGACCACTTTTCGCAGATGACCTGGGACGAAACAATTAATGTCACGTTTTTAAAAAACACTCGGAGAACTGATGACAGATAATGGCCACATGTCCAGCGACGACTGTGTCCTTTGGACAAAAAGAACACAGGACTAATTTATGCGGGTCGACTTTAAATTTGGAGTTTGGGGGACTATCAGTGCACGTCTTCGTGACAAAATTATGGCTTCAAGATTTAAGTGATCTTCTAGTTGAAGATGTTGTACACGTTATGTCACTCTTTTTGTGTCCAAACCCTGTGCGCTAGGCGTCCAGAAAGGCGAAGAAGAAGGCAGGATCCCTGCGCGCTAAGCGGGTCACTTCCAATGTCTTCGCGATGTTCGACTCTGGGCAGATCCAAGAATTCAAAGAGGTAATTATCCACTTCGATGAGAGTGCGAGTAGTAACCTGAGTCCTATGTTATTGATCTATCCCAACAGGCAAGCAGAAAGGCCAAGAAGAAGGCAGGGTCGATGCGCGCCAAGCGCGTGACATCCAACGTCTTCGCCATGTTCACCTCTGAGCAGATCCAGGAGTTCAAAGAGGCAAGCAAAGTAGCAGGACAGACTTAGCAAAACCCGCTCCTCTGGTACAAACCGGACGGGCTTTGCTACTTCGGTCGGCTTCCTAAGTTAGAGGGCCAGAGACGTTTGTGATCCTACCATAGGCTATGGTTTGAATCACAGACGCCCTGGCCAACCAACGAGCATTAACACCCCAGGAATTATTGAATGTCGAGCTTATACTCTCATTCCTAACTCCTACCGCTTTTTTTCACAATTTCATCCATCATCACCATTTTCCTTTCAGAAGTTCAAACTGAATATCCCTGGCACCATCTCACTATCTTATTTTATGCTTAACTTCTCCTTATTTTATCCACCGACAACTGACACTGCTATCATGAAAACTGGCATGAGCTATGCTACGATCCTTTACGTAACTGAAGCGTACGAATGACTAGTTGTAGTAGCAGGCTTGTTGTAACACCGATAACGTACAAGACACGACACGTGATGTCGGTTTTTGGAAAAAAAATGGACAATACGCATGATCGAGGATTGGCTCTTAACTTTGTCGCCTCTAAAACGACCCGTCCACTACTTCTATTTATATCTCGGCTCTTATTATTCTGAAACCCTGCCAAAAAGTTTCAACTTCAGCAGAAACAGGTCATGTAACTCGTTAGAATCTGAGTTAACATAGCTTCGTTATATGAGAGTGAATAAGGACAAATTTAACATTTCCTCTCCCCTGACAGACATGTCAACTGACATTTTAGAATGTACGCCCGACTTATAACACGTATTTCCACAGACCACCAAACCCACGTCTATCCGAACAAGGATCACCTATCTCCCAGGCGTCGTACACTCGTATTGTCGTATACGTATGCGGAAATGTACACCAGTAACACCCTCACTACCCACGACAGATCATCTACTAACCGGGACACCCGTTGCTAACTTTAACCTAACCGTTACGTGGCGATTGTATACCCTCTGACTAAAGTGTCGTCCCTCTGCCTCTCCCACAGGCCTTCACATGGATCGACCAGAACCACGACGGCTTCCTGCAGCCTGACGATCTGAAGGGTGTCTTCTCAGAGCTGAGTAAGTTTGGCCCTCTCAAAACCTTTAGGAAAGACTGTAGTATGGCCCTCATTGTAGAGGCCTCGTTAAGTGTTCCCGTTGTCCTGGTTTTGTCTTGTCTAGTTTTACTCAAAATTAAAGAAAAAAGTATCGCCATTTTAGAAGAATGGTATTAAGAGTCGCACAAAAACAGTATCTTCCGATTTGTTAGACTGTACATTACCGGTGGGCATCTCTTTAGGGCAATACGTAGCCCCGATGGCTTGTTCAAAATAGTAACCATCCATTTGATTGCTGTGTTCCCTCAGACAAGGATCCCGGCGGTGATGGCATCGACAAGATGATGGCCGACGCACCTGGCCCCATCAACTTCACCTGCTTCTTGACAATCATGGGCAGGAAACTCAAGGGTAAGTCAGCCCTGACTATAGTCCCATGCACTTGATGTTATGAAGATAAAAACGAGAGGGTGGAAAAATATCTTATGTGCGTAACGTTACCGTGCTGTGACGGAGGATCATTATAAACGTAAATGGGACAGAACAAACAGAATGGGACTACGCTGATCACGTAAATTTTTAGTAAGCCGTAATCAAAGGAATAAGCTTGTCAACATCTCTCAGGCTCACCGTACAACGTTCTCCTATCTTTCGTACAGGTGTGGACACCGAAGAGGTCATGTTAGACGCCTTCAAGATCTTGGATCCCGATGAGACTGGGAAAGTAGCAGTAAGCACGTAAGTCGGCAGGAACATTCTCGCATCCATTCTTCTAGCAATAGTTTCCAAGCTTTGGTTCCCAAGTGTAAATGATACAATGACCACCCAATAGAAGACGAACCTTTAGACATCCATGTAACCACAGTTAAGTGTAATTTCTGAGATATTTCTTAAGACGTAGACCAAACGTTTAGAGCCATCCTCCCCAAAACTAATCAGCGAATTTTCTCTCCTCCTACAGGATCAAAGAGCTGCTGGTCAGTGGCGGCGAGAAGTTCACAGATGACGAGGTAATTATTACATTTTCCTCTGGTATCAGCCTCTAGCATATCTTTACAAACAGGTAAATAAAAGGGAATCTTCCTTAGACAGTCTTCGTAAGACGCTCTCTACTTCTAGTATTACACACTATGCAGTACAGAGAATGATAGACCAAACAAACACTTTCTCATACCCGCTGATAATATTAACCTCCTTAGAAGTTACGGGTTTGTTTATCATGTGCTATTTCCTTATTGTATGTCTGTTATACCAGCTTTCGAACATCTGCAAGCAACCCGTTACTATGATTATATCCTAAAATCATAATCGTCACATTATGTTCATTGCTTGTTTTACTTTTCCATCCCCAGCTGAAGGGTGCATTTGAAGGTGCACCAGTCGAGGATGGAAACTTGGACTACATCAAGTACTGCAAGATCGTGAAGCGCGGCGAGGACTAGACCAGCTGCAGCCCCCCACCCACACGCTTCGGTCGTAGGGATCACGTCATCGTCTTTGAACTATGTCAGAAACGTACTTTGTGAGCACATTTGAGCTATTTATGGCGACATCACCACACCACCACAGTTGTCATCATCATGTTGCCTGCTATTTTCGGCTCGCACATGAAACATAGACGGGCTTCTGACATACTTTGAACCGACTCAAGTTACCATTCTTCTGTACCAACAAATGTATTTACTTATCTCCAAATCAATTTTCGTTATGAAATTAAATGTGTACTTTTAAACGCCTGTTGGTCATTTGGACTAAACTGGTCGTATCGTAACAGAAAAGTGTACCACCGTCTTTTAAAACGTAGGCGAAGTAAACGAGGTAGATGTAGCATGTACATGTGAACAGTGAAGAGGGGCGACATTTTGAGAAATAACCAGAGGTGTTACGAAGGACAGAGGAGCAGATGGTTTGTCTTGCACAGGGAGATCCTCACTTGCATTTTTGTACAGTTCGTATTTTGGTTTGTGTCAATGGTTTGTCCAGCCTTTTGACTTCCAGTAAAGTTTAACGGCTGCTCTCACCTACTTCTACTTTCTCTGTGCGTTTGTTGTCAGCGTCGTTGCTTGACGTTACACCAGTAAACAGTCTCAATTATCAACGGAGAGAGAGAGAGAGAGAGAGAGAGAGAGAGAGAGAGAGAGAGTGTGTGTGTGTGTGTGTGTGTGTGTGTGTGTGTGTGTGTGTGATTTACATATTCAGCATTTATTTAACAACAAGGGTTGAGTATTTTGTAGTCGACGAGCACCACTCCTACATTTCACATTAATAAGCACAAATATGTCCTACGATAGAAAATAGAATTACATTGTAGAATCTGAATGAACACCAGGTCTCCGCAGTCCCCCGTGATTCACCTCCAAGACCTGAAAATCGTTCCCCTTTCCTGAATGGCCTTCTCTTGCAACAATAAATCGCTATGTACATAACGTTACAGACTTCCCAGTCAGGTCCATAGTACCGGTGGTCAGCTGAGGGGACGTGCAAAATAGAAATACACCTAAAATAGGAGAGGGTAACGTATCCAACTTCATCGAAACCCATAGCCATAGCCCCCTGGGGCCATAACCGTAACCACGTGGCTCAATGACGCGCCCTGTCCTTGGTGCTGAACGTGCCATCCCATGTGTTAGGGAACCATTTCAATGCGTCCTGACGTAATAGTGATCATGTTACATTTGCACACACACCGCTACTGAGTCATAGATAGATCGACGGTACACGTCACGCCTCCTAGTCTGATAATGCTGTAGAGAACCGTTCGATAATTGACGCCTCTATCTTTTATAATACGCAGGCATTTATTCAAGGGTATTGCGTTACCCGATTACTCTGATACCGTTATACATATATGACTCACAGTGGCTCGTAAATTGCGTTAAGACAGAGAAAGTGTATTATGTATAACACGTGTCCATCATGTATAAATGGCTGCCATATATGCCGAGTATATGCTAAAATCAATATCACTTATGGTTAATCCCTCACCCGCCGTGGAACTTTGCCTTTTAGATTTTCTATGGACAGATCACGTTATATTTCATTAGGAAGACTAAACGTGCGATGAACACTATCCCAATAAGCTCGGAGAAACCTGTATATTGAGCTGAACAGTTCTACACCGACATATGTGCAATTGTTGTATTGCATTTCTCTAGACAAAGAGTCACGTCAACTTGTATCAAACTGTGGACCAGTACACCAATTACCAGTACAGGTGCACACCGTGCACTAAAAGTAGGCCGGTCGTCATTAACCAGTCACTATGCCAGTCCCTTATCACTAATGTCACTTGCAACTCCTGTACACATAACCATGACAAGCCTAAACAGTCTGTGATGGAATGTGATGGTCCAGGAAAGTATATGTACCTATATCTATCCGCTGTAGTTCAGGTTCGACCCTCTTGGAGGCGCTTGTGGTCAGGGCGTGTGTGCTAACACGATCGTGTTGAATAGTTAGCAATGCATACATAGCATATAGGATGTTAATCTGCTCACATAATCCGCGATCCATAGCCATATTGAACAAGACACAATAGTCGCATTGTGTGCCATTCATTACAAGAGGACGTCTGATGACCGCCTTTTGTTCCGACCACGTGTGACCTGGAGCTGGTCACGCCCACTCGACTGACGTTACAGGATCACTTTCCCTTTTCTTCTTTAGATCTCTGCTGTGTCAACCAAACTTGCAGCACCAGTGTTGGCGGACAGGTCAAATAATAAAGGTGTTGCTCCCACGACAGTGCCCATAAATAGGTTACATAAAAAAGCGAGTCTTTGTATGCAATTAAATCAACATTAAATGTTGAATGTAAACCTATTCTTGTGACAGAACCAGTTTGTTCAAACATTAGATACGTCCATCTTGTTTGGATATGGTCAATTGAGTTCGCATCATGACCCAGTTATGTTCAGTGAGCCAATACCGAGATGTCAATTTTTAAAAGTCCCGCCTGTCAGTTGGCAATTGTTTCAGGCATCGATCTACTTGATATGAAGATATGAACACACGCGCTCGATAAGGTATTACGTTAAGTACATAGAGTACTCTGAACTCCAGTTAATGGTTGATGGTACGTCCCCACTTTCCCACCTGCCCGTGACCTGAAGTACACCCATGGGGAGCTCACCCGCCGACCGGCATGCTTTGCAAGCAGCTGGCAAGATGGAGGGATTCGGTAAGTGGCTGTCAAACATCTCCGCTGGTTTTGGGCCTTTTTTGTCGGCCCTGTCTGTGCTCTGTGCGGTTTGATATGATACGTTAGCCCAGATAAGGTCTGTTGTACAGTGGCTACCGTTTGTTTTGTTTGGAAGGTCTGGGTTTGGTCACAGGGGCGCGTGGACTGTAGGTGACGAGCGGTAGTGTACAAACGTCAAATCTATTTCCCCAAACATAGACCGGTCCAGATCGGTACTGCACAGCGTGGGGAAACGTTCACACGATACGGAACACTACAGAGTGTGGTTACACAGGAGCTGTTTGTGTAATAGTTGTACAGCTGCTACTGCTAGTCAGTACTATATAGCTGCCGTGAACGCCAAAGGCCTTTATTCTGGCGCGCGGTTTCTTATCACGGAACATGCCAGGGGCTTTCTGTCCATCCACGTAACGGTGTCGTGGGATGGTCGATTTTGATTTAGCAGCCAGTTTCCGTGGATCCCTGCATGGTGGGCTGGGAGTGTTTGTCCAGTCCTGGCAGCTGGGGGCAGTTAGTGTCTAAAAGCCGTGAAGAGATCACCAAAAATGGCAGTAGAACAGAGAGGCTCCTCCCTCGCGTTTTCACTGGCAGAGTTGGCATCACAAATTGCTCCCTGAAAGGAGGAAAAGGGATCGGGTTAAAAACAACATATTACATCTGTTGTATCAACTCACTGGAGTAAGGCAATGCCACCTCTATTGAGTAAGTGGCTGTCCAATATTGTGGCATAAATAGCACCTTATTATCCGTTAGGAGGTAATTTATGTTATCGCATAAAGTGTCATTACCAACATTATGAATTTGCTGATGTTGAATAATATAATTAGTATCAAACAAATCTTGTGATGGAATCTGATTACTAAGCTCATTGTATCACTGTGGCTTTGCTGAGAAAAATGTGTTTCACACTTCTGCACAGTTGTTCCTTTATTGTGCTCTTATACAATGCTTAATCGCAGTTGCCATAAATAATATGTGACAAGATGTAAAGGGGCAATCAGCACCAGCCATGGTGAACCTTGGGGACAATAAATCTTTGCCAGATTCAAGGACAGCAGTGAGCTGGTGGTTTAATGTTTCTCTCTGCAAGCTTTTGAAGTTCTGCCTTCTGGCTGATTTGTTCCTGAGATGACTGTTGTACTGTTACAAGCTGGACCCTGCATGCAACCTTGTTACATGACTACAAACAAATCTGACAAAGTGTATTTGCTGTTGGCTGCCACTAGAACCTGATAGTACAATGTCTGTATTCAGGGTAACAAGGGTATGAATTAAACAACAAGTAAACTCTGTGTGCTATACATGAACAATTTTGACACTTTTGTTCTCACTAGCCAGGGATGCAAAGTTACTTGCCTTTGTATACTAATTAGATCCTGAATAGAATGCTGTATGTGATTGTGCAGCTAGGTCTGGAAGTGGAATGTGAATGTCAAAAAGGTTCAGATTGACACACATTCAACCAGAACATGCATGTGAACATGAATAATCCATTCAGTACATTCACCTGAGCAAGAAGTAAATTCTGACACGTGCACAGTGGGACGGGATGGGTAATTGACTATGAAGAGGAATGCTGCCACACCCCCTCTGCAAACACTGCATTTCAGAAGTCTAGATCCAAACAAGATTGTGTGTAACAGAGAGCTGTATGGCAAAGAAGTGTTTCACTAAAAGTGCTCTCCATATAGCCTGGAGTGGAATAAATCGTGACTGGCCTCCTTTGGTATTCCTGTGTTTGTGTTAAAACTTTCCCACAACAAAGTGACAGGAGACAATGCAAATATAGTCAAGTGGCAAAACTAACACATTTATGATTATCACCAAATTGACTGGCTTCGGAAAGTTAATCAGTAAATACTTCAAGTCTTTAGCATGCACACCCTCAGAGCAAGTAGCTAGAATAAACATGCCAACAGGCCATAGTGTTGAATTACTTCCTGAATAATCAGTATGTATTTCCTTCTTCATCTTCTCCCAAGGAAGGCTTCCATGCCTTCTTGTAAGTGTTTCTTTCTAATAAATTCTATCTTACAATTTTACACTAGTTTCTCAACTTTCACTGGCTATTCCAACTTGGCACTATGGAAATAAGGAACACATCTGTTATGGGAGGATATAGGGCCAACTAAAGGAAGTTATTCTGTCAATGCTCTAAGGTGTTTCCTTCACAGGGGGCTTACTGTTCCTTTTGACCTTGGACCTTGGAGGAATGCCAGGCTCAGACAATCTAATCCACCAGGTCATATCACCTGTGAACCTGAAAAATCACCCTTGCTTCAGGCAATTTTACAGGTGGCGGTGTTTGCTTCAAATTATGAGGAGTTGTCAGTTGCCTGCTGTATACTGAGATACATAAACTACAGTTAAGGATACAAATGACAAGAACAATCAAGGATACTACTGTAAACCTGAACCTGTATTGATACACTGATCTCTGCTGTGCTGCCATGTCAGAAGTACAGTTCCCAGGGGAGGTATATTCCATGTTCCAGTGATTGGATTTGTCAATGTAATTAATTCTTTCCCTGATTGTGATTGTACTTTATGCCAGTTGACCTATCATCCCCTTTGTGCTTATGGCAATGACATGGGATGAGAACTGAATTCATGATAAGACAAGGATGTTTGGAAACAATATTCTTCAGTGAACTAGGTTGACTTATTATATCCAAATGCAAAAATGGTAGGCCTGCTGAATGTGAATGGATTAAATTTGGATCACCTACATATTGGGTTGGCTGTTTACTTTCCATGGGGCTCTTTGTAAAGATATTTGTAAAGATGGAAGTAACTTGATGTTACAAAGTCCTATAACTAACAGGTACATATTAAAAAAGCTCTTCAGCAGTAATTTATTTTCTGCTTATCTTATCTTATCCTTGTACATGTACTGTAGGTTCAAATTGGTCACATAGGTTCATTATAGAGTTCTAAGAGTTCAAGCGTGGATAAAATATTTAAAAGTGCTGTACATATACTAATATGCTGTACATCATGATGATGTAATATTTTTCTTCATATCTGTCATTTCACATACATTTTTTTTCAATATGGGAAATATATGGCTGTGATTATATGGGTAATGCTTTCCAACTGTAGATGATAGGAGGATGAAATATCAGTAATACATTGAAGCCCAACATGTCATTTTTCATTACATAGAAATGCATTGACTCACATACCTTGTAGGCAACAAATATAGCCCATAGCATGCTAAAGGTTAAAGAGTTCCAGGCATATAAGTGATGTATAATATTACACTCCCACAGTCCATGCAGGGGTATTTTGTTGTATCAAGCATATCCCAGATCAATGGGAAGGCAATTACATGGGTCTGATTTGATAAATTGTGTTTGAGGAATAGAGGAAATTAGATGGGAAACTAAGCTGATTATCCCATTCTCTAGGCGTGTTAGAATGCACTGTGCAATTGTGATTTTCTTGGGCTGTCAGGAAATTAGATAAGTAGAATACTTGTATAGGTAGGATAATTTCCTCTTGAGCTTTCTTCTGATACTTTATCCTTTATGTGTTATAGCCAGATGGGCAAACACTGATATTTGTCCATGTCTTGAGATGTCAGTCAGCTGGTGATTTATGGTGTACCTATGTTTTAAATTACTGAACTTTGACCTGACTGTTGTCTGAAGTCTGTAGCTATATATATGGCCCTGGGTCACACCTGACAGTCCATTTGCCTGGGGATAGCATTAGGTTTTCATGGCTTTCTTTGATGGATTTTTTAGAACTTAAGGTACTACAAAATGTGTTTTACATTCATGTAATATTGAACTTGTATAACAATATTGAACTTGTTATATAACATCTCAGAGGTGTCCCAGAGGTCTATTCCCCTTTTGCAAAGGAAAACAAAATCAACCAGGCTGTGACGTAATATTGCCCTTTCCCAATGTTAGCCTTGGTTCCTGTATATGAGGGAGCCTCAGGGTCAAATCCTACACATTTATTGAGAAGAATACTGTATAGGGATGACCTGGTGCACATGTGCTTGGCCAAATTCTTGGGGACGTTACATTCTCCCTCGTCACTTGATGATCAAAGATCAGAAATATTTTTCTCGAGTTCTTACCCTCCTCTTGAATGTAGCAAATGGGTACTGTGAATTGTGAAATATTCCAGGTCATACTGTGAACATGTGCTATGTCTTGCAATTGCAGTACTGATATACTACTGTTGAAACAACCACAAACTTATAACATGGTCTACAACACCTTTGCCCTCTTACCACAAAATTGTGTCCCTGCAAACTTCACAGAATTTACCAAGGGTACAGTTACTACATTGTGTGTACTCTCTGGTCTGGTTGAACCAGCTGGAGCTCCCACTGAGTCAGTCTGGTTTGTGTTTCACTTCAGGACAGGGCAGATAGTTGACCTCCATTTCATGACTGTAAAAGGTCATGCATGGGTATACTACTCTTGGCCTGGTGTTGACTTACCCTATATAGTAGAGGTGTAACTTTTCACTTGGAGGAACAGGCAGTTTTGGTTAAGATTTCATTTATGTTGGCAAGTGATTTGTTTGAAGAGAAAATATTAAAGTGAGTCCATAAGATAACATGTTTTCACTCAAAGACACCAGGCTTATTATGATAAAAAAAGGTTTTGGACCAGTGTATTAGTACGTGGTTCTTACATAAGTTGCATGCCTCAGACCAATTGACATTAATTTTTTTAAGGTCAATCAGTGTATGCTGCAAACAAAATTGCTTTTTGCATCTCTGTATATTCATGAGTTTCTGGCTCCCACTATTCAACCATGCATAACTTTGTTGTTTATTGATAGTAATACAATATTCCTGTGACCAGGAAAACTCCAAACATCCGGGTAGATTTCCTGATTGGCAACTTGAGAATTGGTTCTATGCAATTTGTCTCAGGGTTTCTAGCTCCACAGCTAGGGTAGTTTAGCCTGTAAAGAACAACAATTCTGTCACAGGCTATTGCATATTTACTACTCAGCAGTCCAGTGTGCCAGCCACTGTATTTCTGCATACTGCAGTATACATAGCTAATGCACAGAGATACATGAAGGAGACTCAACATACTGCCATGTCTTTCCTCCTGCACAAAAAACTGAAGATGCTTGGTTTGAAAGGTAAGTCTGAAGACTTGATGTAGACCAAAAACCAGGTGATTGAGTACTGTAAGTTGTAGCCCAGCTTTACTGGCTGAAGTGCCGTGTTGGTAAAAATGGTATTGTATATTGTGAGCCACCCATCAGAAAATAGGCAATGTGAAAGGTCATGGATGATTAGGCAAGTAGAAAGCAGGGATTAGAAGGATGGGTTGTGGATTTAGGTACCACAGTCATCCACAGTCATCTAGATCAGCATTGCATTCATCCCATTTCTGAATACAAAAAAATATCTTGAGCCATAAGAATACAGTCTTGTTGTACAAGTTTGTGTTACATCTGCAATTTATTTTTTTACCCTTAATGAACTGTTTACTTCTACTATGAGTTTAAGTTGAAATAAGCATTAAACTTTAATTTAAAGATTAGGCAGAACATGTTTCTGTGGCCTAAGGGCACCGCCATATGCTTCTCATGGAGCATACAGGACCTTTTATTTTGACACAAAACATGTTTATTTGACATGGACTTGGGCATGTTGTAAATTCTATGTACACAAATTACTGAAATTATTTTGTGTTTCCTGCAGTTTCTTGATTACAAATGACCTTCAAATTGGTAGTTACCAGGCTTTGATCTTTCAAAAGAGGGTGACTGATATGGCATTTACAAAGTAGGCACACTGGAACTCCCCAGTCTCACCTGGCTTAGAGAGTTGATCAGTCCCTGCATACAGCTCTTCAAAATGGATTTCAAATAACGTTAAAACCTAGCAACATGCAAACATTGTTGAAGCAGTTTTTATTCTGGTTGCAGAATGTTGCCCAGGTTGAGCCTTACAGTGGTTTAATGATAAAGTGTAAGTGTCTTGCTTTAGCCTGTGTTACACAATCTCTCGCTGTCAGAGGCTATTTGAGCCCTTTCATCTGTATGCGAGCCAAGAAACCATGTTCAATGAGACATGTACATACAATCAGAATACAGCATTCAATTAACAAAAAAACAAACAAACTTGTAACCTTGCTATTTAATAAAGGAAGTTGATCACGGTGCGATTTTAGTCAGACATTTATTAGTCTTGATCTGCATGTACCATAATGTCTGAGGAGATAAATGTAAGCACAGATGAAAAGTTGTTCGGTTACCATGGTGAGAGAAAGCTGATCTTAGATGTTGCTGATGATATTAAGTCATTTGAGCAGGAATGTAATTTACAGAGAGAGCAACCAGACTTCTGATAAGCTGAGGCCCAAATTATGCATCGACCAGCATGTACAAATGTAGTCCAGTATTCTGTTTTTGGGGGTATTGCTGCACCATTAGGTAGTGTGTCTTTTGTAGATTTACTTATCATTAGGTAGATACTGTGAATAGTGTCAAGATAATTTTATCATAACTGTAGTTCCTATATTTTCTTCAATGAAGGCAGCTCTAGTGGATGATGGAATAGGTACATTTATACATGCATAACTTAAGTGAGTCATTCTCGCAGGACATAAACATGCAGTGGCGTCGAGTGGCGCAGTGGACAGAGTGTTCGGCGCTCAACAAAGAGCCCCGGGTTCGATTCCGGGTCGGAACACAGGGGCATGTCCGAACATGCGCACCGACGTTGTGCCCTTGGGAAAGGCACTTTACACGTACCCCCCTCAAATAGAGGGACAAGTCTCCAACGGCAGTTGTCAACTGGCGGACGAGAGCAGCGCCAGGCGGGCTGGCGTAGTCAAGGCGGACCTTGAGCGTAACCAAGTCATCCGGCAGCTCGCTGCAAGCATCCCAACCGGAACCAGCACGTCTCCCTCGATGTGGATCCGCTGGGGAAGACGGATGCCCAAGTGTGTGGGTCTCAGATTCGCAACCTGTTATCCACCTTAAACAAATCCACGCGAAGGCCGCCGTGTCAATTGTAACCCTCACTCAGGTGTAGGGACTGACACGGTCATACTACTCCGAAAATCTGTATCTGTATATCTGTATCTGATTGCAAATAAAGATATCGAGTGATTGCCATAGTAGTAAACATGCAGTATAATAGTTTAATTGTAACAGCTTGATAAGACAACAATTCCAAATTACCATATCTGTGTGCCTAAATGTGGAATTATCTGAAAGAAGAATGATTGTTAATTTCTTCAGCATAGCTTGCCCTGCCCTGCCGAGAGAAATGATTGCCCCATACTTGAGTGATTCTTTTATACTGTTAACTGTAAACCTGATTTCGTTACCACACACATGAGCAGAATGCATAAGTGAGCTGTGCTTCTTTGTTGTGGTCCTAGCTGACAGCAAACCCACGGAGATGGAGCCAGCGACTGCTACAGATGAAACATCATCCCTACATCTCTGTAATTATCCTCCTCAACCTCAGATTTTGTTTGCATGTACACGTGTCTTGATTAGTCTAGCAAATATTGGCTATGCATGGGATAGGTGCAGATATTTTGAAATCTGTTCTTTTCTGTTGTAATACTTGTATGCTGCACATGAAGGTATTTAGATAAATGTATAGACATAAATCAGTAGTAAGTGTTCATGGAGAAGCCTTCTTTGGTTACGAGCATTGGGTAGTGGTGGATTATCTTTTACCTAGGCCTTGTTGGGAACGATGAAAGAAGGTTTCTCAGATAAGAGTCCACTTTATTTTTCCACTGCTTACAATCGTTATTTGTGTTCATGAGTCATTACCTGGTGTTTAGAGCATATTGCAGTTCAGTGCACTACTTGCTTAGTGCTTGGTGCTTTTCTCTCTATCCACACCGCTGACAGCTTTCCTTGTTAGGCTGCTCTGAATTCAACAAGGCTTTCCCATGTGTAAATCCCTGCTGAATGGGGTGGTCTTCTTTGTGCTGGTCTAAGCGGGGGCACAAGAAATGTCAAGTAATATCATTCATGGCTGGACAGATATTCATGAGTGCATTCGAGAAAAAAAGTGGAGGGTAGGGTGGGGGGCTCATGTACAAAATTATTTAAGGGGGTAAGGGTACTATAATTCTTTGGTGACTTTGGTGGCATAATTGTGTCAGCAGTACCTATCATTATTGAGGACTGCAAGTGTATAGGATGCACATTTTAATTCTCCACTTCTTCCCTGAGTGCAAAGCCTATATCATTAAGATGATCTGTTATCAGTTTTTAAGGGACAGAACACCTTTTTCACCTGCAATCACCTTCTGCTTTGCACAGCAGTGATTCTTCAGCTTGTCCACATCTCCCATTCATTCCTGGTACAGACCATATGTTTCCTCCTGGCATGGCTAATGATATGAGTAATTCCATTTCCTTTCCACGGAAGCTCAAGATGGAGACAAGCAGCCAGCCGGACCGCCTGGTGGACCCACAAGTAAACCGTTCTGCTTGATGGGTGTTTGCTCGTAATGTTTCTGCCTCTGTGGTGTTATCTACTTGTATCACTGTAGAGAAAGCCTTTTCAGTACATAATATACTGTTATCAGGCTAAATCAGGTGCTGTAACAGTCAAAATGGAGGTGTGAAACTGCCACTAAAATGAAGAGGGCAATACTAACTTGGTGGTAAAAAGCATCAACACTGATTAGTACTACTAAGTACCTCATTCCTACAAAATAGACGATAGGATGCATGGTAGTTCCTTTTACTCCAGTGTGAATACAGGCTTGACCATTTCATCCTTATTTTGTGTTGTCTTCTTCCTTCTATGCCCTTCTAATAAAGACTATGGATGGTAAGTGATGGGTACCTAACAGTCTTGTAGAATTTCTGGTGATAACCAGTTTTAATTAGGTGTGTACAGGTAATGATATTTTGTTTTAAAAGAAGGTTCTTCCTCCAGCTGGGATAGGATAATGGTCAGATACAAATCTGACAACAGACAAGTTAGAAAAGTGGAATAATGTTGGTCATTTTCACTGTATCTCACTGCCAGTTTGTTCCCTTCCAGACGACAGCCTGTCGCAGGACAGTATAGACCTGACAGACAGAGTGGCCACCCTGGAGCAGAGGGTCCAGCTGCAGGAGGATGAGATCCAGCTCCTCAAGTCTGCACTCGCTGATGTCCTCAGGAGGCTGGGACAGTATGAAGAAAAAGACAGGAAAACAAACAAACGTGAGCCACTAACTTCTGTTTCTCTCAGTCAATAATCTAGTGCAGTTAAAACCATGTAGGAGACCGATAAAATTTGTTCTTTTTAGACAGGTGGTAACTATAGACAGGATTCATAATGCCTGTTTAAATGGGAAAAATTATCTAAGGGATCACTAAAAATTGGTCACATTGGTGAAGTGGTCCTCATGTAGAGGTGGTCGCAGGTTTGCCTCTACATAATATATATTCATCACTGTATGTTCTTTGGTTTCACTCAGATTGCATTTGCATTTACCAAGACAAGCCAGCTGTGATATATTTATTCCATTGTGGAAAGTAGCATAAATGATAATTGAATATCCATCATAAATTAATAGTTTTGTATGATTCAACCATTGACCTGTTGGATTCTCTCAATATGTGATGATACTCACTTTCCAGTTTCAACTCTTCACTTAACAATTTGAACTGTATAGATGTAGAAACTCCTTAAAAATATGTTGTTGACCAGTGTAAGAGGCCTGGCGTCTCATTGTTCCAGTCATCTGTTGACTTGACCAGTCCCAAATCTGCCAGGTCCAGAAGGGAGTCCATTAATGTCTGTCCTGCTGACAGCTCGCCAGGCTTTTCTGGTGATTGGGGTAATTTCCTGATTATCGGCAGTGCATGCAGATCAATAGCAATTACTGCAGGGTCTGGATCCTGAAGCTGGAGGGATTTCTCTGCTATAAGGATTGCTATGGTGACAGTGGACTTTAAAATCACTTATGGAATCGGTTGTTGAAATATTTGGTCTGAAAGGTCTATAAACAGCCAAAACAAAATTGGTACAAGGACACAGTTTTTCTTGGACGTATCTGCTGCCAAACTGTGTCAGATAATCTATGTAACACTCTGGGATTCACAGCTTGATCGTTAGCAGTTGCAGTTGCTTATTTCCCAAGCTGCCACCATACAATTACAACAAATCCGCAGTTGACAGCAATCTATGTCAGGCTTAACCTATTTTGTAAACCATCTATATAATTTGAGCCTTTATGGTAGGAAACCAAATTGATGGCAGTGCCCCCCCCCCCTTTGCAAATGATATGGTAGACCATACCTTTGCATAGATCTATCAGTAAATGTGAATCATTTATTTTCATATTTTTATAGTCTTTTTTCATGATCATACTTTCTCTTAGAAAGATATGAAATATATAACCAGCTGCTAGTTGCCATCAAAAAGGTATTTGCAAAGTTATTCCTAAGGGAAATACCTTGGAAAAAGCTGATGAAAAAATATTGTACATATACAGGTACATGTGCAGGACAGTTACACATTTACAAAACATGTAGAATCCGCGAGTAAAATGGTATTTTCTTCTTCAAAATCTGTAAGATGGCAGAAGCATTTCCTTAAGCTTCCTGATCTTAGATATCTCTTAGTTTGCACTGGTAGGAAGTGAAGTTAATGTCAAGGACAAGCAAGGTCAGAGGCTGCGAGTCTATTTTGAAGGACACTCTCATTGATTTTGAATCTCAGATGTTCTTATTACCACTTTGAAATATGAGGCAAATCAGTCTGGTCAAAATCTATAAGTTAACCCGAGTCATGTAGTCAGTCACTACAAGTTGTGTTGAAATGAAGCTTACACATTAGAACAGGTGTATGGGAAGACACTAACCTCATATTCAGCACAAAGTAATATTTTTTGTTGTATAATAAATATAATTATAAAATCTGTTTCATGATTTATCATTGTTATTTATCCATATAAAAGCAGACTCTATACAAGTAAATAGTACTTATCAAAATTTCATATCAGTTGAATCCCAAATTGCATATTGAATATTCTGCTGCTTTCCAGATCACAGTGACTGTTTTTGACTCTGTCCGTGGTACTGACATGGTGTTTGTAATGTTCAGTATTCAACATTTTGCTTTCAAACAGAACATGCTATGGAAAAGTTCCTGTACCTAACAAGTAACAGTAATGAGTGTCTAGCCCCGGTTATCTCAGTGTCAGGGATCACTGATAAGTACAGAGGAAAGCAGACTTTGGCTGGAGCCATGATTCCTCGTCTGGAGGGAGGAGGGAGGGGAGGAGACACTGAGTCTGATATGGACCCATCTGTGACTGATTGGTGGGATCCTCTCATCAATACTGAGCAGGTCATTGACTTTGCTGTACGAGTGATGAAAGGCAAGCAAGTATCCTGGACAGAATGATGAAAACAAGTCTGGAATAATACCCTCTCATTGTCATAGTGGGAGTCTAACCCATACGTTTCCAAGTGTCCTTGCCATCCATGATGTTCTGTATGTCTCGGACCTTCCCCCTAACGTCCATGCAAATGGGTCTGTATATGTCTGTCAAGGTCTCCTGGCATGCAAATGTCCATGCTGTTGTGTCTCAAGTATGAGATTGCTGGCTAACTCTTCTGAATATCCTATCAGATGACATCCTTCATATTGATTTTTTGGGGAGTAAATGATTTTTTTTTGGGAGTAAATGACAGTTGTCAAGTTTTTTGTTGTTTGATATTTTTGGATGCATAGAACAGTCTTGTTCAGCAATTTTTTTTTTAAATTGTAGGTAACTAATTTTAATTCAGCCGTCCTCTTAATCTTAGCAAAGGTATGATGGGATACTTGGTAACATCTCAGCAGACATTCTTCTCTTAGAGATGGTAGTTGTCCAAGTTTTCAGTAGTTGTGTGTCCCCCAGCAGACATCAGTCTAGCACAACAGAATTAGTGAGCAGGTATGATTCATAGAAAGGGCACAGTGCAGTGGTTCTAATTGTATTTCCCAGGTTTATTGCATGAAGTCTGTCTGGCTGTACCATTGAGAGTGGCAGAGAGCCAGGGGTATTCTCAATGGAACTTGAAATAGGTTTTGTTTCCCAAGGTTTCCTTGACAACAGCACAATGTGTGAGCTACAAAGCATTTATCTGGCATAGAGAGCTTCTTATAACTGACCTGTTTCTTATTCAGCACATACAAATGTAAGTTAATCTGTCTTGCCCATTTCCACATCATATTAATGTTATTGATGACTTGAAGTTGATAGGAAGGGCCTATGAGTCATAACTGCAGTAATAGATGGCACTGCATATACATACATGTATTCCATCTACAAGTACAGTAATCTCGTTTGCATTGGCTGAGCTGGCCTTCAAGTTCCCAGAGGTAATTGCATTAAATCAAAGCCATGCTAGCTATTGCCAGGACTTGAATCTAGGACCTTTCCACTGCATACCAAATCAGCAGACTCAGATCAGCTACCACAGATTGCTAGTATGGGAACTCAACTAAGTAAGAATCAATTAGAGCAAGAGTACTAGTGTTTCTTGTACATGTTACAGAGTTGAGGTAGGATATGTTCAAGTTAAAACATTACATGTTTTTTTAACTTGCTTGGTGAAGCATCAGTGCACACAAGCAGGAGGTGGTAAAGGTGTTTTTACCATTGCCTTGATATCATTTTAAAAACCAGCATAACCGTTGAGTCAGAAATTTTGCAATTGTTGAAGAATTTATCCTGCAACTTGTAAAAAAAGCCCAGCAGTACAGCGGGATAAAACCCAGGCTAGCTGCATCTAATCTCTGGGGAGTATGAAAGCCATCACTGGACATGCCCGTGTGCTGTAGGCAGTTAGCCTCTGGGATGGGGCTGATTTATTGCTTATCCAACACATCTTTATTGCATGACTGCCATCTCTCGGGATTCATCAAAATCATTCAATGTCCAGAGTGGTGACCTTGTGACACAACCTACATTCGCAACATTATTGCTCTCCAAGGATAAAGTAGAGTAGCGGGTTACTTTATGTTGAATATAAACATACTAGATTATATTCTGATATATATTTCAGTTTTAAGATAAATGAGCAGCTGCATACTGTGTTGATTTTTCAGTTTACAGTAATATAAATCAAAGAAAACACATGACATCATCAAAATATTTGCACAAGTCACCGTGCTGGGAAAAGAAAATGTATCACCATTTGAAATCTCCCCAACAAATATTAGATCACATGTCCAATATGTCCTGCCCATTACAACCACCAGGGGGCAGGTTAGCCAGCGGAGGGGATGAATAGAGGGGATAGTCCATTTGTAAGACTGTATTAACATGACAGCAGCCAAACGAATGGTCAGTGGGGGAGCAATGCATCAAAACTCCCTGCTGTTGACAATTCTTCACATTGACAAGTGAAATGATTGGAGAGAGAGAATAGGAAATTGTAAATTTATTATGTCCCATGACAAAATCATCTCTTGTATTCAAGTAGATGACAAGAGAGAAGAATGTATTAAAACAAGTTTAGATTGCATCGTAGTAAGAAGATAAGTTACCTGTTTTCAAGTGTTAAATCTGCTGTTTTACGAGGCAGGTAAAAGGCCTGTGTGATGTGAATGCCAAGATTGCTATTGATCGGTGTTGTGTATCCTGCGGAACATCTTGTCATAAAACGAGCCATACAGGAAGCATGGATTGTTGGGTATCCTAGTTTTGTTTTGTTGAGAGGCTGAAAAATGTTGTTATTTTAAATAATTGCAGAAATCCTTACAAAAGATAGCCTTAGTGTTGTATAGTCCATATTTGCAAATCTAATAATAGATACAAATTTTTTAAGATATTGGATATGATCCTATCTATGTGAATGATGAAAAACATTGTCCTTTAGGTGTGGTATTAATGACATTGATGGTTGCTTTGTGAAATGTGCAAGATCAGCCAAGCAAGTCATCTTTGTTCAATTTGATGGCCCAATACTATGTTATCTTTGACTTATTACACAATGTAGCTATAGAGGAATTACATTCATAACAATGACAGCATGATATGAATTCATAGGGCACACACATATCATCATAATGAAGTGTCTGCTTCAGTCTGTTAAGGCATCATGTCATGTTGTGTTAATATATCAGTGCCCTTTTGTGTGGGAAATGGCAGTTGATTCAAATGGCACAATTCATTAAACAACAGCAGGAGCAGGCACGGAATATGATCAGGCTTCCTCTGCCAGACTGGCATGTAGCATTAGTCAGGCTGAAAATTGGTGGTGCTAGGTATTGACGTCTCCATAAATTGCATGATATGAAATTGCAATGTTCCTATATATTCATTAAAGAAAAACTATTTCTGCGATTATGGAAGCAAAATCGTTCTTCTTCAGCTACACATATTGTTCATATCTGTTCATTTTGCATTGTTAGCAAGGCAACTATAGGAAACATTTCTATTTGTACAGGCATTTAGAAGGATTTTTCGGTGCCAAATCTGCAATTCATGTTGGAGTTTGATCTTGAAAACCTTTGACAGCAGGCCACAGAGGAAACTACAGATAACACGGGGCCGTACCTCACTGTCATGCTACATGGTAATTACCCAGCCCCAGGGGAACATTAAGAACTAATCTCCAGGTGACCACACACCTCCACCATCTCACACTCAGCTACAGTTGTGGGCATATTAAGATCTAACATAACATAATGACCCACACTGGCCTCAAATACTAGTATATAACTGGACAGGATACCTTTCCTCACTTAAGGCAAATCTGGTCATAAGATGCTGAAAATTGAAGGAAATTGTACACCTTGATAAATGTACATCCCTTGACATAATATGAAACAATTTATCATCATTGTCACAGTCATATTTCATGAGAGCTAAATCCATTCAGCACCATGCACAAGATATTTGTAGACAGGAGATCTTTTCTTTGCTCTGTTAAGCGCCCCAAAAGATGTCAAAAACATTTTCTATTAGGAATTTACTCTCTATGGTCTCTGTTTGATCTATACATTATCATATGTAACAAATGGAGGTGTATTTTTAGGTACCTCTCCTCTCAATATTTTCACAGCATAGGATAATATCATTTATCTGTGATTATTTTGAAGATTAGAATTACCAAAAAGACAAGTAGTTCTCTCAATCAGCCACAGTCATATTATGTGTACTGACTTTTCAATTGATAACTATTTCAACACCAAGGACAAGGAACAAATGTAACTCCTGTGTGATGAACAACCAGGTTTGATATCCACTTTTTAATTGATAGCCATTTCAGCACCAAGGACAGGGAAACATGATCACTCCTTCCAAAACCAGGTTCAACTATGATGACTTTCAACATCTTTGTAATTGACTGCCATTTCAGCACCAAGGACAAAGAAGCTCTGTGCTGGGCCTCCACAGTTAATCCCAACCTCAGAGATTTCAGAGATGATGGTACCTTCCCTCACCACCGTCTTTCATTCCTTCCTGTCCCTGGCTGTACATTCTATACGTGGTGTTTTTTCTTTCCTCTGCTGTAGCACGACCTCCAGTCCTGCCATCCAGACCCACTATATCCAACGGAGGCACCAACACACCCAAAAAGGCAGACCACTCCATATCAGGGAGACAGCAGACCCCACCGACACCTACCTCCTACACACACGGCATCAGCCAGAGAAGTCCCATGCCTTCACCCAAAACTCCACACAGGGAAATCAAGAGGTGGTCATCAGGGGACATGTCTTCCGGTCAACCCAGGTAGGGGGGGTTAAGTTTGGTCCTTTTATTGCTTCTTCCTTTTTGATCTTTTCAATACGTCATTTCATCTCAATTTATCTTAATTTCAATTTTTCTTGTATTTTGATCAACTGAATCTATGTTTGATTTTGATATTATCTATGTTTTGATCTGTTGTTGTGTTCTTCTCATTCTTTTTAATGTGTTAAACAAGGTTTGCAGTTCCCATGCATTATAACTCCTGGACACTTTCATAATTAAATATCCCAAATTTGTGTGCACCATTGCAACTCAAATGATTAATTGCTTAGCCTCAAAAAGCAATTAAAATTACTTATGCATTTGAAAAAATGCATGCTATATTGTTTAACCGCTAAATTTGATTGGAATGGAACTGATCTGCATTTACGTGTGTTTGGTGAACATTTTCCAGGACCTTATCATGTGTGGAAAGCTGGAAGTTTCTTTCTTTCACCTTTTCTTTCATCATAGATTCCTTTATGTCATTACTTCCCAGAACCCGCCATGACAGTGCAGGATCTGAACATTCTACTGACTCTTCTGCACCTCGCAAACCTAAGGCCAGCAGTGGCAAACCGCCCCTTCCCCCTAAGAATATTTCCAAGAGGTACTGAAAACGTACTGTCCGAGGTTCTTGCCTGGAGTTGCCAGAATCCCAGAATGAATGGCTGCATCTAATCTTACCCCAGCATCTTATTCCTGCCTATCTCTCACTGGTATTTCATACACAGGTGGTTGCTAGTACATTTTGTTTGTGTCTCTTGTTATGTTATGTTAAGTTATGTTATGTTACGTTGTGTTATGTCATGTTATCATGCATGGATGAGTTATTCCTCATATACAATGTAAGATCAGTCAGTAGTTGGTGTGGCTGACTAGACCATAGCCTTTTTGTCTGCTTCATAAATGTAGTAGAACAATTAATGAAAACCATGTCATGTGGCATGTCCACTTTCTTGTGCATATCATGTGTGTTCTTTGTGCAAATCCACCAAACAAATTTTACTTATTCATATTAAATGGCACAATTAGAATTGTGTACCTGGCACTATCTGCTGTACCTTCCTTTGGCTGCTCCCTGTGTTTTTGATACCTAAGGCTTGAAAAAATGATTTAAAGGTATTGTATTGTTATCTGCATTAGCTACAAATGGAAATGTAGTCAAAAGATATAGAAAATGTCCTGGTTTACATGACAACATTGCCTGCACATTGAATGAGGAATGATTCAACACTGCATGACAATTTTCTCTCATAATTTTTGCCTGGTTTTACTCTTTAGACATTTTACTGATCCTGCCTGAGTTTCTGCCAGTTCCAACAGACGGATGCTGTGGACTGGGCAGTTTTGCTCCACCTGACTTATACACTGTTGCTAGTCCACTGATGACTTCTATTGTTTGTAGAACACCTGCCTCGCTACTGCCTTAACCTTGTGTGCACCCCACCTCTCACCTCTGCTAGGAGTCGCAGTAGTTCACTGGATAGAACATCAATACTCAGGCAGAGTGGGAGAAGAGGGTCTGGTAGTCAAAGGTACTTGTACTAACTTCCAACTCCCATCTGTAGCACAACGTTGTACACCTGTTTGTATGTACCTGTACATTGCATGCAGTCATGTGTGTTACACACAGAGAAGCCACCGCAGTTCAACAGCATTGCTTGATTGATATTTCTTAGGTAGGGAATGGTGAAAGAACAGATGCCAATGATATGGTTAGTAGGCCTTGAAATTTGCAGTAGTCAACTGTCTCGACTGCACAGTGTAGCTGTACAGTAATGTCAACAGACAGATTTAACTGAGAAACAAAACAGGTTACCTTGATTAGGAGTATTTTAATCATAATGTTAACGACCACTGAGTTATATCAAGTTAGCTATGCTGCCTCTTATAGCCTGAAATTCCTAACATTTATTCAAAGATGCATTAAACTAAGGAGCAAGAGCCTTCCAGTGGTAGCAGTCATTTCTAGTAGTATGTCATTACTTGAGATTTATTGAATGTTTAATAAAGATACAATATGCTGTACTAATCTGTATAATTATCTGGAAAGTCAGCAGGCTCAGAAGAGTGTGAACTTAATTAACATTATATTCATCATGTTTACATAAGAGATAAGTTTTCTTTCTTAGATTGTAGTGCTGCTGAAATATTGCTTTCAGGTTAGAATGACTTGTCAATTACGTATTTTCAAAGCATGATTTTATTCCTGAACATTAAGCTATCCTTTAAATTTTTTGAGTTAAGAAAAAATTACACACAAAGCAAAGGGACTAAACCAGGGTCAATTAACTGTGATTAGATTATATTAAAAAAAAGTCAGATGTTGAATTTATCACTGTATTTGTATACATTTTGTGTAACAATGTCAGTCATATACTGGTAAATTCTGTAAGTGTCATATTCTGCAAGTGTCATATTCTGTAAGATCAACACTTGTCCCATCTACTTCCCTACATTCACCATTAAGATCGCTACAAACAAGGCTTGAAAGCCACTTGAGTCACTAGATTAGTCAGATGTGCATAGTTTTATTTGCACTTGTGAATATCCTGTACAAGGTAAGTGTCTAAAACAGTCAAGGGGGATTTACTGTGGTCAATTCTTTAAGAATATTGTTTATACTGATAGGTATAGTTTGTGTAACTCTTCATAAATATGACAACATGCTAAAATTTACAGCTAAATTGTCAGCAAGGGTGCCGCGAATAGTGTGTTCATATGTTTACAAAAATTGTAATTGAATGCCATTGTAGGTTAGCTTCCTGGTCAATATGTTTTATGATGTTTATTGATGTCAAAGATACTTTCATAAAGCCACAACTTACCTGTATGTTTTGATGCCCACAGCCACAGCCCAAGAGAAGCTTCACATGTGCAAGGTTTGTCTTGAATTTGTTTTCTTTACTTTGTATACTTCAAATGAAATGCAATGTAATTAAAGATATCTAATGGTCCTTCGTGAGACAGTTGCTGTACTCCATATTGGCTGAGCAGGCACTGTTGTTATTGTTTGGATTTTGAGAAAATGCATATGGTGTATCATTAATCAACAGGTTGATTAGATTAAATGCAGTTTGCATAGGGCAGAAAATTTAATCTGAGGTAAGGATCTATTATCTTTACGAGGTCAATATGTTCCCTCTGTAGCAGGCACCTATAACTGTGCCTCTCTGTGCAGCAGAATTATTTCAGTCATCAGGAGGTATATAGGTCAAAGGTTGCAGGGTCACCAGTTCCATCTGATTATCAGGGCTTGGAGAAGTGCCAAACTAATAAAGAGGCACCCGCTGCAGTGGTATTGGACGATTCATCGATCTCGGGCCGGGAAAGTGGCCCAAATTCATAGGATATTCCATTTGTAATTCGCTTAGAGCCTCACTCGCAGTGGGGCACCACAAAGGCAGGTCTCGTGATTCTAGTGTGGAATATCACAGACTGAGGTAGAATTAACATTAGGTAGACATAGACGGATAGAGGCTGAAGATGGCTGGCAAGAAGAAGCAGATTGAGCTCCGGAAAGGTGAACTTGGTTTTGAATTGTGTTTTCTTCATGTTGATGTGATACCTGACTGATTCCTGACAGTTTCTGTTCTTGTCTGGTACATGTAGGAGGAGTGAGGCCTCCAAGAAGCCCCTCTTGTCGTAAGAATGTGGAATTTACATTGAGGTGTTTGAGAAATGGGGATCTTCCTTTGATCTAAGAGATGAATAACATCTTCCTTTGTGCTCTGCTGCTGAACAACTGCAGTCTCGAAATCGTTATAATTCTACAGATCAGGATTTTTAATGCCTGCCCAGTTCCTATAGTGGGGTGCTAACAGGTGTAAATTCTTCCCGGCTCTGAATCTCAAATTGCATGATCTGTTCTTCCAGTAGGGAATCACTGGCTTACTAATTGTCTTGAGTATAGTTTGGCTTGTCTTGCAGTACAAATACATGTGGGAAGGTTGTGTGAAGTGTAATGTACTGTGTTTGTTACAGAGGAGGGAGCAGTGCGGATGTTCCTGCGAGGACGGCCCATCACCATGTACATGCCCACCAACATGATGGAATCATACAACTTCAAGGAGAAGGGAACTCTACCAGCTGAGAAGCTCAAACTAGACTGGGTGTATCCTTTAGAGCTGACCACACATTCCATTGCCCCTGTTTCCATGCAAAGTTGTTCTTGAATTTCCTTTGTAGTTTTAGTTCAGGAAGGAGCCTTTCTCTTGAATTATTAATGTAGTTCTCAAATTTCATATTCCAACATAACTCAAGTGCAGCTGTGGCATAAGTGGAAACAATGTTTTTGCCAGAAGTGACAAAGCTTGAAGTTCTCTTCCTGTGCTGTTCTCTGTGAACTGTTTATCAGTGATAAGGTTACTGCCCTGTAATGTTGTTTGTATTCCTGCCCTTCGCCCCCTTCAAATGTGCTCTGATAAGGAATTATAGTGTTTGTTTTGAGTGACAGTAACAATTGGGGTGAGGGTCAGGGCACATAATTATGAAATTCATGTATGTTGTAATGGAATTCTAGGGCACTGCCCCATGCCACACTTGGTAAATACATAAAGAATGTAGCCAAGATAAGAGTGGCCCCTCCCATGTCAGTGCTGGCTGTAATCCATGCAGGTCGTCCCACTGAGCATTGATTTCCTGCAGACTGACTATGCCAGTCACGTTGCCACAGTCTGCTGGCACTGCAACTGCAGGAGGGGCCATGCTGGAGGAATTCATAACAAGGGATTCTCTCCTCCAGTCTTTTCACTCATCAAATGATGTGACATGTTTTGAAATTCCTTTTCATCAATCGATAACCAATACAATAAAGGCATGTCAAGCACTCCAGCAGGGACGCTATTCTTATCCTGTTGGTGATGATAAATGTTATCAACAGCTGGTTTTCTGAAGTGTTCATGCCTAGGGCCTTTAAATTGTATGGTGCCACTTTATTCTACAAGGTGACTATGTATCACAATATATAACATTGTTGACAGTAAACAAAACAGGATACACAGGTCCCTCTTCTATTCTGACTCAAATGACTTCTGCAGTTGTTGCTTTGATATAGAATAATTTCCTTCGTACCTCCAAGTTTTCATCATGACCAGTATCTGTGACTATGTAATCATAATCTTTAAATCTTTAAACCCAGTATTGTATTCTACTTGACAAATGAAATGCAGATGGTTTTCACAGGTGACAGAATGGGAGAATTGATTTCCAAACAGGTGTCTAACAGTTTGCATGTTGGAAAGAAACAATGTTCAGATATTGATTTCATTTTATTTTATATAAAAATGGGTGAAAGTTTCCTTGACAGGTTTGTATCAGGTATGGTTACCGAGGGCGTGACTGCAGGTCTAACCTGTACCTGCTGCCGACAGGGGAGATTGTGTACTTTGTTGCAGCAGTGGTGGTACTGTACAACGTGGACGAACAGCTGCAGAGACACTACCTAGGTCACAACGATGATGTCAAGTGGTGAGCCTTTTGCTTCTCTACTGTAAATGTCACTCATTGTAAGATATTGGAGGATTAGCACTTACCAGTCAAATAATAGTTTTAAAGAGCAATGTGTGCAATACTGAAGTAATTATAATGTGACAGTCAGTATCAAATCAGTACTGTAGGTTTGCTTTGGGAAGCAAAATGTAATGCATGTTTGATTCATCCTGTAAATGCTCTACCTTGAATGGAATGCTAGCTCATCACAGATCCTCCAGAGCTGTACTTTTTCATGCTTGCAGGTTACATTATTGCTTTTGTTGTTTCAGCCTTGCAGTTCATCCAGACAGGATCACTATAGCGACAGGGCAGGTGACTGGGCATGGAAGAGATGGGGAGGTGAGTGAAGAAAGGATGCAGTCTTTATTTGATATACAGATTAACTATGATCTTGTTTAAAGGCATATGTATACTATAGTTTAGCTAAGCAATGAATCAGTATATGTCATCACATATGGCATCAACTTCCACATAGGTATACTACTGGGTTCCTGTTCAGCTTTTGCAGCCTTTGTGTTTTATGATGTATGGTCATCGTTTCACCCTGTGGTTGGGATGTCTAAATACTCCTAGAAGTGTTTATAGCCCTATAACAATAGAAGGTCCATACTGGTGACATAAATACACTGTAGTGAACTGCTGTATTTGACTGATATGTCATAAAAAGGTTGGCATTTGTGGAAGGATTTGAAGTGAAGTTTTGTGCAAGTGTCAAAGGCCCCAGTGTGTTCATCAGGGGTTGCAATAAATCCTTCCCAATACGATAGGCCTCTGCATCTCGTCAAAATGGTACTTCCTGATAAGAATGCAAATTGTCCCTTCCACCTGCACTGAGGGAGTCCATCAGTGATATTGGTGTTGTCCCCAGTGTCCTGCAAGTCTGTCTATTGATTTCTCAGCAAAAGCTCAGGATGGAATGACATGTGTATAGTATGTGTCGAATAATGGGTTGTCTGCAAATCTGGCCAATCTGTCATGATGGTTGCTTAGCTCGCCTGAAGTATTCTATATCCTTATTGATACTAGTAGTAAAGATTTTCCCAACTTCAAACATGCAGTCTCTGCAGGAATTCCTGTCATTATGGCCACGAGATCGATGAGATTAGTTGTAGCAATTTTGCTGCTTTACTGTAATTTAATTATGCCCAACATTAGTGGTGCTGCCTTATTAATCATGTATGTGGCAAGTCTTCTCAAATTATCTTCGTTGCAACTCCTCATCTCTGAATCTTGTAAGCTCACTAATTACAAAGTTTAGCTGCTATGCATAGCACCAAATAGCATACGAGTACCATATATATGTATGACATTTCCTAACTTTCAGCTGGATACGTACAAGAATGTGGACTCCTTCTACAACAAGGATGTGGAGTTCTGGTACAGGGTGAGTGGGGTGTCCCCCGGACCTGCGGCAGTTAGTCACTACTAACCACATCTTCTCTGTATGCATGCAATCTGGAGTTCTTTTCCACACTGCCTAACACAGTGCTGATGCTCTGATAATATTGTTTTCTCTATTTTCTTTACTACCAACAGTTTCTTAGCCTTCTTTTTTCAAGTTTTAAGGATTTCTTTCAAACTCATAATGTGTGCACTTACACTTACAGGTATGCATGTGGTAGTGGTAAACTTGAATTACTAGTCACCATTTCTTACTTGTAAAAGTTACATTCTCACATCTTATATTTTTTCATTGCCAAACTACTGAATGCTCAAAACTAACAAGTCTGTTTGTATTAGCTGTTATTTCATCTGAGCCTTGCTCTTCCAGCATCCAGGAATTGTCCGACTGCATGTAGTGTAGTGTGGGTGTAGGTGCACAATGTAGGTGCAGGAGTTTTACTAATAATCATACCGTTTGATCTTTCCACAGGACTAACCTGTAGTTCAGTCCATAGACTAGGCATCAGACTAATGAGGTGGAAAGGGATGGTGTGCAGAAAAGGCCATAGATATACAGATGAGCACATGAAGCTTTTTGACTGAGACTTAAACTCTGCCTTTCATGTTACAGGCCCATGTGCGTGTCTGGGACTCGGTCACTCTCCACACTCTGCATGTCATCGGAGCTGGCGACTTTGAACGTGGAGTTTGCTGTGTGGCATTCTCCAAATCAGTAAGTCATCTTACCATAACTCTGTACTAGTATTAGGCAGGTTGCAAGTTAATTCCTTCTATGTTCTGTACAAAATGTAACAGACGTCTTTCGTATCAATGTCTGTATTCATGTACATGTGTAGGATGAATGATGGAATGGTAGTCTATTGAGTTGATGTACAAGAAATCATAGACATTGTGCAAAGGGATATTTGACCTCCACAATGATTGTCTGGGTTATAAAGAGGCAGAATATTTGGTGTTTTTTCCTTGTTTATCAAGCAGTTACAATGTAACATTCGGCAAAGTGGCACAGATTTGGCTTCAGATGCAGAACAAAAAAGGTTCTTGCATAACTATTGCATAACTGGCAACTAGATGGTCAATACACAGATGTTTCTTCCTGATTGATAAAAACTGCCATGTCACTGTTTTCTAATCTCTGCAGGACGGTGGAGCACATCTCCTGGCTGTGGACGAAGCCAACGAGCACATCCTGTCAGTGTGGGAGTGGCAGAAGGGAGAAAAGGGCCACAAAATCACTGAGACCAAGGTAAGCCGACAGCAAACAATGTGGGTATCTCTGATGTGTGAGAACTGCAGGATACAAGACTTGGCACAGATCCCAGAGCTAACTCGGGGAAAATCAATTTCCCATGAACCATTATGGCACTCAAACACAGGCTTCACAGTAATGGGAAAAGTTAGCAAAATCAATGCCTGCTCGAAAGGTCAAGAAAGCCTTTAAGTCTTCAGATCTGAAGTGTCTGTTTCCGTAAGAGAATGTCTACTTACTCTTGGCTGTGAAAATGCCAGTTAGATTTACAGTAGTCCTGCTCACAGTGGAGTGGCTTACTGGGAAGTGGTACTGTAGGGCTGTGATAGGGGATAACAGAGTGTCTGTTACAGGCTGCCAATGAGCCAGTGTTAGCAGCAGAGTTCCACCCTACAGAGAAGAACCTGATAGTGACCTGTGGGAAGTCCCATATCTGCTTCTGGACTCTCGATGATGCCAAGCTCAGCAAGAAGCAGGGGGTCTTTGAGGTAAGCCTATTATATGTCTAACTTATGTACTGACTACCAGTATGTGGCAGGTTGCAGGTCCACAATTCTAATTAAGTGGAATGCTGACTTGCAATAGAATGTTGTTATATGGTAAAGATAGTCTTGTTCAGCTTTGTCTCTGCATGTAAAAGTTGTTTTTATGGTACCAAACTTCCAAATGATTCGTCCATTTTAGGTGTTCAGGACATACAAAGAATAAGATTCAACTCCCTCATCAGTGAAGTGGTTTATTTGAATATTTCAAATCTGTACTGCATTTGAATGAATGAATGAATGAATGATTGACATGTTTAAGAAGACCAAATACTACCCATTACTTTTCCTACAGAAACATGACAAGCCTAAGTACGTGCTGTGTCTAGCCTTTGCTGAAAATGGAGATGCCATCACTGGGGACTCCAACGGTAACATCTTTGTCTGGGGGAAAGGTGTGTATAGTCTCCACTGTGAAAAATACCAGCTTATCATTATATGATATAGAACTAATCTCCACTGGTAAGTGTATGGAGAATACAGTAGAGTAGTGTTCTTTTCCATGGTAAAATTAGCTCAGTAGCTCCAACACATAGTATTTTGGGGCTTCTTTGGGACTGCTTCAATTATGATTTTTTTTAAATTTGTGGTCAGTATATTTGTTTGGTAGCAAAATTGACCGTAACCATTGGATATGACTGATGATCATTGAACAGTTTTACTGCTCTGTTCTTCAGCATAAAACATCTACTTCCAGCATTTGTAGTACTTTATTTCAAAAGACAAACAATTTTTTCTTGACCAGGTACCAACCGCATCAGCTGCTCCATGGTGGGTGCGCATGACGGTGGGATCTTCTCCCTGTGTGTGATGAAGGACGGCACGCTGGTGTCAGGTGGAGGGAAGGACCGCAAACTCATCTCCTGGGACAGGAGCTACCAGCAGACTGGCACTGAGAGCGAGGTGGGTCGCCAGACATGACTGCACTTCTGAAATGGCTGGGCTATTGACATGGAAATTTAACTTGTAACATCACCAATGGGAATGAAAATGACAACAAGGAAATAGCAATTTGGTGCAGAAATATGCACAGGGTTTAATCAGCAAATTCGTAAGAAAGAGCAAAGACGGCTGACAAAGCCACAAGGGTTACCTCTGATGTAATGAGGTTACCTTTCTGTCTTTTAAGTCCAATTGAGATTAATGGTGAATACTAGTAGTCCAGTCACTGGACAGTTATTCGGTTATTCAGAATTGCCAATATTTCTATGACAGTAAGTTTTGATACAGCTCACTGGTCTCTCCTGACAGATAGCAGAGGTGACCGGGCCAGTCCGAACTATCACCCAAGGTAAGGGTGACGATGTGTTTGTGGGAACCACCCGGAACGCCATCCTCCGGGGAAGGGTCGGAGAGCCATTTGAGCCGACTGTTGAGGTAAGAGTTCATGTGTGATGACAGTTTCCTGAATTATTAATTGCATACTCATGATTCAACCTTTGTACATGTACATGACTTCTGACCCTTACTTTAAGAATGGAATCTTATTTGAATGCTTGCATGAATGACCTATTGACGTTATGCTGTATTATTTAACTGTATCAACTGTTTATTGATACTTTCTCATTTTTTTTTTACCAAACATAATTGTGATCATTTATTTCTTTGCCAGTTTTTGAATATAAGTTTTATCTGATGCAGTAAGAATTTGTCCTTTGTGAGTTCTTCTACGGTTACATCCATTTGTAGTAGTATGTTCATCTGATAAATACCATTTTGCAGGCACATACTGATGAGCTGTGGGGACTGGCAGCCCACCCAAACCAGCACCTGTTTCTGACGTGTGCTTACGACAGACGGGTGTTCCTGTGGAATGCTGACACCCACACGCCTGTCTGGTCTAAAATCTTGGAGGTTTGTATCCACCCTTCCATAAGCTATATCTGGAGGTTTCAGATGTATTGTATCATTATATATTATTGATATATGGATATCAAGTTGATAGACAGATGGCATTGAGACCTATACAGCTCAGCTGTGAACAAGCATGACTATGTGCTATATATAGTATGTGCATGGATGTCCATTGCAGTACCGACTCTTTATACTAGGTGGCATTCATCACATTAAGGTTGGTCATTGTACTGTGGTGTTACTTGCAGGGATTGCCACAATTCAGCAACTTTTCAACAGACAGTAATTGTACCATATCAGGTTGTGACATTTATCTACTGTCTAATATGAAATGGTTATTAGTTGTCAAAACCTTTTTTAAAGAACATGTAATAACAGCCCAATATTCCCTGTTGTTAGGACCCTGCCCAGTCGGCTGAGTTCCACCCCAACGGGACAGTTGTGGGGATCGGGCTGCAGTCCGGCCGATGGCTGGTGCTGGACACGTCCAGCAAAGACCTGGTCACGGTGCACACTGACGGGAACGAGCAGCACGACTGTGTACGCTACTCGCCTGGTAGGGATGAACATCATATCTGTACCTGTTTTATATATTACACAGCTGGTATAAGCGCCCTCTGGCATAAACCATCAGCTTTGCAGGCACACCATTCACGGGTAAAGCCTCCAGTTAGCTAGTGTATATGCTCATAGTTTCTGGAGTATGAGGAACAGAAATGATTGTCCTCAGTATTATTGTCCATTTTGCTGAATAATTGCAGCAAATATTACATGTTATGCACCTTGGCAGTGAAGGTCTGAATTATCGTGCATTTGTGAGCATAATACAAAGGATGGCAGGAACAGTAACTGATATTAGAATGATGGCCAATGCATGATATCTTACGTGAAATTGTCCTGTAGAGGAGGTACAAGTTGACACTAATTTTTTCCTCCCTCACTTCACACAGACGGGAACTTCCTAGCTATCGGGTCTCATGATAACATCATCTACCTGTACTCTGTGACTGAGGAGGGCAGGAAGTACAGCAGGGTTGGCAAACTCACCGTGAGTAAAGCTCTGCATGTTCTGGATGGCATAAACAGAATTCTCAGAACTACTGAAGAGAAGAATACTGTTTTGTTTGTCGTATATTTCACATGTATGCAAAATTGAACAAATCATCACTCCATCAAAACATAGAATGGCAAGCCCAGGCATTGTGGATGAAAACAATATTACAATTTCATTTTGTAGCAGGCTAATTCAATTGAGAGATGTCTTATATACAACCTCACAGTTAAAACAAGCTTGACCTGATGTAATGATCTGTTGCTTTCCTTCTACCCAGGGCCACTCCAGCTTTGTAACCCACCTAGACTGGTCCAGCGACAGCCAGTACATCAGGAGCAACTCAGGGGACTATGAGATTCTGTACTGTAAGAAAATACTTCTTGTACCTGATGCAAATGTAGGGTTTGAACCTCTGTGCATGTATAAATCAATCAACAGACCTTTGAGTAAGGGGACTCGACTTGACAGGTCAGTTTGATATACACCAGATATGTCAGTTCATCAAGGCATTTCTAGCAGCAAAGCTGCTCACTTTCACAGTATCTGAACCCTTCTCATTTTCTGTTTAGGGAGTGCTGCCATGTGTCGCCAGGTACCTGCTGCTGCCTCTCTACGTGATGTGGAGTGGGCCACTGCAACATGTACTCTCAACTTCCAGGTCTTTGGTAAGGGTTCAGCCTCTCTCTTCTGCTTTTGGTTTATTGTCAACTGGTGGCTGTAAGTGGGTACTTGAATTCAGTTTGGGAGGGAAAAGACAACTGTACGAAAGAGATGGGCTTTGCTTTGCCTTCGAATACCGTGCCCAAGACACAGTTAATGGACAACCTACTACCCCTATAACTATAACTTTTTGTGCAACCTGTGGCTGTACAATCTTCAATATAGAATTTGTAGTAGAACCAACAGTGTGTGTTGTTTTGTCCAGGCTACATGTCTTCTCTCCCCTCACACAATGACCAATGTTGCATGTTGGTTTGTCCAGGCATGTGGCCTGAGGGTTCAGACGGCACCGACATCAACGGCTCCACCTGCTCCAAGTCAGGCAAGCTGCTGGCCAATGCTGATGACTTTGGGAAGGTCAACCTGTTTAACTACCCCTGCAGCCAGCCACGGGTGAGCCTTCTGAGTCTGCTACATCCAACCTGCTTTCAGCACATTCATCAAAAAACATTGCTCATAATTATCCTCCTTCAATCATTCATAATCATATGGTGAACTAACAATTTGTTCTGTAATGCAACTGAAAAATTTACATGCATAGGTATGATATATGTTTCCTTTAATGCATGATTTTTCCCTGTTAAAATGTCATCGTCACCTTGGATCTGTGTTTTCCAGTCACCTGCCCACAGCTACCCTGGCCACAGCAGTCATGTGACCACAGTGGACTTCTTGCATGATGACAGCACTCTGCTGTCCACTGGAGGGAAGGACAACAGCATCTTCCAGTGGAAGGTCGTGGCTTAGACCAGACAACAGCCAAGACTTCCTTGTATTGTGTTGAAAAGATGCAGAAACTGACCACACGAGCTATAGGGCACTGCTGTCACACCCACCTTTCTTATTAACTATTCAACTGAGCACACTGAACTCAAGGATTAAAGTTACTATAATTCTATTCTATCACACAACTTCCAGCGACATTTTGCTTTTTGAAGGCAACACTTTTGTAAACTTGAATTATTGGGTATTGCTATGTCACGTTACTTTATGTCTTTCTATTTAACTGAAGAAAAGATGCAATACACAAGGCATCTGTACACAAATGTGCTTTTAAGAGAGGCAGCAGTACATATATATTATATATATATATTGATGTATGTATCAGTGCTGTGTTTACTGACCTATTTACGGTGCTACTTGTGGGGCTATTCGTGAATCCAATGCTTGTGGAATATAGCTTCTTCACATTTCTGTTCATCTTCATTTTGCAATATTAGGTGTATTATAGTATGACACTACCGATAGCACATTACACAATGTAAAGGGTTTATCACTAGTTGGCTCAAGGCAGCACAGTGAAAGACAGGTACTTTCCACACATTTATGGTCTGGTTGATAATTGCACGAGGTGGCAGCAGACTTGTTGCAATATATTGTGTGCTACTGAATAAAATGCAGTAAGGTGTTGAGGCTGCAAGGAGCTTGTAGGTGGCATCGTGATGTGTTCAGTCTGAACTTCTACCTGAACTTTGAGATACCTTTGCTACTATCTGACTTGATATGTTGGACTTGATGACATACTATAAGTAGATGATGTAGGGATTCACTGACCTCAGACTATACTAACCCTAAGCAATTATTAAAGACTTTGTTGGCAAGGCAGTATTGTGGGAAAGTTGCTTGTGTAGTCATGATGAGCAAACTGGTGTGTCGTACAAAACATGCAGTCCAGGCATGGGTGCTGCTGCTGCTTTGTATCTGTTGCCTTTATGGTCAACTTTTATAAATGGAAAAACAAAACATGAGATAAAAAAAGTGAATTGCGGTATATGGAAAGTGAACAGGTGTGGAAACAATGCACAGAAAGTGGGTCCATTTCATCAAGTTCTCCAAGACATATTTGTTTACATACATACTTGAGTCCCTTATCCCATCCTAAAAAAAGCTACATTTGACACCTATGTGCAATATGTGTAAAAGTCTACAAACAGCTGGAGAAAGTTTTCTTGTGCTATTTTTTTTACTACAAGCATTATGCTAAATGATGGACATGAAGTGTCATAAAAAAACACCTGTACTGAATGATTTGTGTCCAGCAACATGTTTCTTTTACTGTCATTTACTGTGACTGATTTCTCATCATTAACAGGTGCTGTCTCTTCAGCATCACAACACTAGAAACAACATGCATATACTCCTTATATACATATAGTCACATGAAGTCATGTACATGTACATGTTATACAGTAACAGTCTATGGATGGAATGGGCCCACTGCTCATGTGCCAACTCTACTATGGTGCTGTGTTGTAACCTGTCAAATTAAGCTCACTACCAATGGTGATATGTGGAAACATCTGTGATCAGATCAGAGGAAGACTTTTGTATGGTATTTATTGATGAAAGATGTACCTTTCAATTAAAAGAGATGCTTTCCTATCTTGTCCTATGTCAATGTTTTATCAGAATTAGACATGATAGGCTGCACTTGTTGCTTAGTATGAGGCAAAGAAATAGGTGTGACTAAGATAGACACAAATGTCCTGTTATTGTGCAAAAGCTTTAAGCCATGCCATCAAATCTCGCTGTTTTGAAAGCTAGAGTATGTCACCAAGGAGGAAGTCATCAAATATGATGGGCATTCATTAAAGTTGCAGCCTTATAATGGCTTGGAAAATGCCACGATTAACCCCTGGGGGGGTTCTCAGTGCTCCCACAGCAGCCGGATGCTGCTCCATTCAACAATAGCCTGTGAATAGGTAATGAAGCGGACAGGTCCCAAGACGGACATAAGATACTACTCTGAGATATTTGCAGATATGACATCAGTGATCACTAAGTGCTTGACCTGTACTGACAGTGTTTTATCTACAAACAAAACATGCCAAATACAGTATTTTCTCTTAGGGGAATTGTGGGACAATCCCTGATTTGTGGGGCAATCCCCTGTGAATACAAGGATTATATATATGCCACTCAGGAGGATTTTAGAAGTAGAGATGAGGCAGTGTTACAGGTAGTAATCATTACAACACAATTGTCTCAACTCATTGGTGACATTTTGAATTTATTTGAAGGCACATTACCCAGTGCCCTGCCTGTTTCTTTTGTGTGAGGAAGACCTGTGACATTCATAGATCTTAACAGGAGAGGAAGCATTCATGTGACAAGTGCCAATAAACCTGGTAAGGACACTGCCCTCAGTTGGACAACTCACAGAACAGTTACTGTACTTTCAATGGCAGGCAGGTACAAAGACTTTGGAGGGAGTTTCGACGCTGCCATCTCTCGCTCCCTGCAGGACTTGGAAGTCAGAGGGTACAAGAAAGTCCGTCAACAGAACAAGTTTGTGTCCTTAAAGCTTCAGGAGGAGCTACAAGACATCGACAAGGAGCAGACAAAATGGCTTCAGAAGCTGAAGGTCAGGCAGCAGAAGATGGCTGACAGGAGGGACGAGCTGGCAAAGGCGCGAGGAAATGATGTACAGAGGGCCAAGTCAGAGAACGCAGCCAGGGAAGACTGTGAACAGAACACACCCAGCACTGCCTCAGGCACCAGAAGTGCAGACTTGGCCCAGTGTTTTGAGGGGCAGAGAAGTTACCCTCTACGCCACTGGTGTGTCATGTCACCGGTGGGTGGGACTCCTGTCAGCAGGCAGATCAAGGTGTGTCGAACCCACTATAGGTAGTGCTCAGGACTTTCAGATCAAGAGAACATTTGATGTTGTTCCTGCTTTCTAAATGGATGGTGAGGTAGATTGGAGGATGTATGATAGTGACTGCAATGTAAAAATCATTCCTAATATCCTATAGTCTTAGTCAATTTATTTCAGAGGGCTGACATTACCTGCCGTGGCTGACTAAGGATAGATAAAATTTTTTAAAGTTAGTCTCATCATTATGTTGTTGTTGGAATCTCCTGTCGCTGCAACAGATGAGTAGGCGTATATACAGGTCATCATTTGCCGAGGTGGGTCCTCATATGGGAATAAAGACCAATTTTCGACGCACATGAGCGGCCACAGATGCTGCAAGGGAAGGACTGAGCAGGGATGGAGCATTGTTTCCTCCTCTTTCTTCTCCTTTATGGCAGCTGCTCTGTTGGCCTTGAAAAAGTCCTAGTGCCCAGTGTACACTGGCTTCTCCACGCAGTTCTGTCATGGGCGATTTCTTCCCAGGAGTTGACGTCAATGTTACAGCTCTTAAGGTTTGCCTTAAGGTTGTCCCTGTATCTCATCATTATAAAGTGCACAAAAGCTACTACGTTTATATCTGCTTTAGAGAACAACAGTATGCACAACCATTAGAACATGTTGGCATCCAGGTTTCTCAACTGACACTGCAAGGATTCTTTACTTTCTTGCATAGGTGATAATAAATTATATGTATAAATAGATTTGTACAAACCTGTAACTGGTGGAAGTAAGCTGACATACTTTTTGCCATTTTGCATAGCTGTGTAACAATCTTCAAAGATAAAAAAAAACCTGAGTTTCTTGTGTTTGTATCAGGCATCAGGGTTGATAATCTTTATTGCCATGGAAGTATAACAGACTTACTAGGTAATCGACTTACTAGGTAATCAAACTGTTGACAATTTAGACAGGTACAATCAAAACATTTTCACATATGTACATTACAAATATTCCAATGTGTAATTATCTTCAGTGTAATACATGTATAATGATTAAAAATGAAGACAGTAATATTGTTGCCCCATGTAATGCTACTATAGGTACTGATTCAGACCTCAATTCAAATGTCAGCTAGCTACAATCTTTCTTTTTCCATATGATTAAAATACACAAACTGAACTGTTCAGAAGTTTTGTCATTTTCATCTCATTCAGTAGCAATTTTCTGCAGTCTTACATGTGTCAAATATACCATATAGGAAGCAAAACCTGTGATTGAAAGGGATGCAATCCAGTTCAGTGATACAGAAGGTAGTGACGGTTTTCTGATCTTTGAAGATTATCAGTTAGCAACAGGCTAGCCTGTATTATAATCTCTCCCTATCAGGGGCTGACTGGCCCAGTGCAAGGGCAGCGTTAGAAGCGTGATGTAGTCAGGCTAGCAACAGGCATATGACTACTCCTAGGTAAATGTGAGCTGTTCAAATTTTTTGGCTTCAGAGCGAACACTGCTGTCTCCTCCCTGGCCCTGCTAATGGTACATCCCGCTCATCCCAGATGCTGACTCCGTCACAGGTGCAGATCTTCTTGGGGTTCTGGAACAGGCCGGCTGAACGAGCCACAATACCGCACGCAAGTCTGGGAGAAAACAAAGAATCACATGGTCAATCAAGAAATGACAGAAAAAATTGCAATTGTGAAAATTCCATAAGAAATACTCTATGCTTGTGTAGCAGAGCAAAATCCGGATGATACCCAAGCTTAAGTACTTCATGACTGATAAAAATAACACTAACCCTGGGCCTGCATTGCCATCTTGCTTGGAGGAGGCAGCACTGCCCTTGCCAAGGTCATCCTTCCCAAAATGCACTACCAGGGAACGACCAATCACATCCCACACCTGTAGGAAGTACATGTAATTACAATGTACATCTTCAAAATGTGTATGGTGGCTATATTGACTCAACCTAACAATATTACAAATCCAAGTAGTTACATGTTTGTCTCAGGCTTTTGTACATACCTTAATTCTTTCATCTTCCATTCTAAATTCCGCTCTTCCTCTCTCATCGGCCAGGACATTACCTAGGTCTCCAACATGCTACATGACGGTATAATAGACAAAACATAAGTCACCTGAACTATAATGGCAAACACAAATTGAGTTACAAGGCTATAATATGACTGTCAGAAATTCACATATAAAATCATGACATGATGATACCAACCCTTTCCTGGTCCCCAGGGCCTCCATGGCAGGAGTTGGTGGGGTTGAAGTGGTCTCCACAGCTGAGATGGGAGAAGTGCTCAAGTTAGTTTAACAGAAACAAGTCTTGGGCCATCCTGGTTAGGATTTGTACTGATATTACAGGTTTGGAAGACTATAAAGCCTGACAATCCCCGATGACATAACTTGAACCAGGTAGGTAGGAGCAGAGCACCCTCCTCCAGTTACCTCTATACTACATTCTCAAACAAGGTCTTCATGGATGGGTGGGGGCATGTGACAAAAAGATTGAATAGAGCTAGGAAAATCTTCCTGGAGCTATTAAGTTCACCTGAGCTCTGAAACCTTAAGAGGACATGAATATGTGTTCTACAGCATTAATGATGACAATTACTGGTATGTAATAAATAGACAGACTGAATGAGACCCTGCACCTGTCGCAGCCTTGAGACAAGTCCCCCAGCTCGTGGACAGCCAGGCCGTGGAGCCCGGGGGTCAGCCCGTCGATCGTCCCCTCGATCGCCACCATCTTCTCCGTCAGCTGGACAAACCTGACCACCCCCTGGACACCACTCTTACCAAAGCCGGACATCTGGGACACTGCAGCACCCAGGTGGGCTGGAGGAGGAAATATGGATTAATATTCATGTCCCTGTGGTACCTCTGGTACTATCAGGAATTTGCTGTGTAACAGGTGGATGGACAAACAAAGCAAAACAAAATGAAACAAAACACATCTTACATTTAAAATCTTATCAATTTCTCAAGATTGAATAGTTAACTTGTATTAACAGTCATGAAAGTTCATCTGTGTTGGTAGTTACATGTTTTAAGTTAAAACTTTTGATCCAACACAAAAATTCTCTCACCTAGAGCTTTCAACCAGTCACTCTGGTCTTCCTCAGTAGACTGACCCAGTGAAGCTTGTCACGTGGCTTCTTTGAAGTGTGACGTCAACACAGGGTCAAAGGTATCTGGTAGACAATGTCGGCCCCTGTCGCGGTTCAATGTAGGGTGAA